TCGCGTTAGCACTGGGCGGGGTCGGAGACTTAGGCTCGCTTTGTTTTTTTGCGTAAAAACACTGCTCTGTCTTAATTGTACTATTAGCTACATCCGAAAACTGGCTTGCATGATCCATAAAATGATGGCTCTGGATAAAATAAATAACACACAGTACCTTGCCAACAATCTCCATTACAAATCAATACTTCGAGGGCATTCATTACTTTGGGTGAAATCAAAACCGTCATAAGTATGAGATTTTCTATTATCACTATGATTAGACGCTTCGAATGCATAACCTGCACGAAAATTAGCTCTGATTAGCAAAAAAAAGAAAGCGAGTAATTCAGCGAGGTGGAACATACGACGGTTTCATGCAATGGCAACTTAACTTCTTGTAAAAAAAAACTAACCGTATCTATGTGGAAGGGAACTCTTTTGGCTCTTGAAGTAACCTTTCTATCCGTAGCGAGTGCTTGTTCTTACGTGAATTTGCATTTTCAGCAACTGTCACAGTTTTCCTTAACAAATCAAGCACGTTCGAAACGTGACACAGAGTGTACAGACAGAAACGTCACAGGGCAAGCCAACAATGTTTCATCTATGTAATACAATAAGAATAAGCAGGAACTACGCTATAAATGATACGCGAATGAAATCACGTTCGAATATATGCACCAAAGCAAACTAGGCATCTCTTGTGATTCGGTCCCATAAAATTGAGTTCTATGAAACACTACGAGAATATAAACTATGATAAATTAAGTTATAATAATTACATGATTCTGATCACATCACCTAGCTAGAGAGTTCGTACATAAAACAAGTAATCGTGTCTTCCTTCATGGTACTTACTAGTCTTATTATACTGGAAGCGCATAATTGCAAAAAAATCATACTTGCGACAGTAAAGCATCGTCGTAATCGTATAAGGCAAACCTTCGTAATAAGCAGTGTCAAAAGTGTTTCAGTACCATTCAGTGTAATAAATGGGCATACATGTTGTGCGGGGGCACAGTGTATCACTAAGATGCCACCTGATATAAATAAAACATATCCCTTATCACGGTTGCCGTAACACGGTTGATTTTTGTAAGGTGTGGCGTTTCTGTTTAGAAGGGGATAGAAAGGTAGGCGTCTGTGGATCCTTATGATAGCACAGTGGGTAACGTATGAAGGAGCGCGGTGAAGGATCCGATAGATAGGCACGCTTCGTTTCATGTTGGGAGAGTGCGGTTTGAAGTAGTGCTAAACAGGTGAGTACCAGACGTAAGATACGAAACTTTTTATCGTACTCCTTTTAGGACAAACCGAATCGCAGAGCATGTTAATCAATGCCTAGTCACTCAAACACGGGCGGCATTGCAACCGTGCGCTTGCAGTTTGATCCATATGGATGACGTATGAAACATAACGTCTTAGACAGCTGCCCGCAAAAAGATTCAAGATAACACGATTGTAGTTTTTTCGTAATAACTGTTATGAGTAACATGCTAAAAATGTCGCTCGAAACTTAACTCATGTCCTCGTTTCAACGCGTGTGTGCGAGGTACCACACGTCTGTTTCATGGGATAAGGAGACGAGTTGACCTTATCATGCCGACGCTCGTTGAACTCTAGCTTAGCTACGGTCCGCACTTAGCACGGTAAAACTAGTTATAATACACGAATGACAGAAGAATCACACTTATTGCCCTGTAGCACAATCGAACGTGCAGTAGTACGAATAATCAAAGCTATCGCTATGCAACAATTATATAGTTTTGAATACACACAAAAGAAAGAAAAGAGGTATGGAAAAAAGCTCGTTTCTCGCACGCAGTTGCCCAACAGGCTCAAATTTGGCATTTGGGCGATCATGTGTCCACGTTTCAGGACTCATATTCTCAAATAGCCGGTCGTAAGCCAACCAGTAAGTATTAGGTGGTGCACAATGGTGAGTGGTGAGACAGTTTGTAAGACACGAAGGTAATAAAAAAGATTACCATAGATACAAGAGATGGTTTGAAAGATGATTTGTCCGTTAGACCCTCGCTTTTAACAGCACCAAATAAATACGTACTCAATTTTCAGTAGTATGCTAAAGAACGGACTTCAAAGATAGAGTCAACAGATTTACAGAGGAAGAAAATGATCTTAACGTCTCGGATTCCGAAGGAAGTTGGAGGGTCTTCAGTGCTCTCCACTTAGCTCGCCTGGTACAATGGAGGATCCAACTGGGGTGAGCCCAGCTCGTTGATCTGTCGATATGCGCTACTCCTCCCTACCGATCCGTAGTACAATTAAAAGGAGATCTGGGTTGCTTTAGAATGAAGTATACGAGAAGGACTGAGATCTGGCGCGTACTGGTTTCAGCGGGATCAAGTCTAACAATACCGAACAAAGTAGGCCCGCTGTGTCTAGTCGTATGAAAGTCGTGCCACCAGTACCCTTCAGTAAGTGAATCCAGCTACGATAGACAGTCTTAGCAAACTAGAAGAAAGTACGTTGTTTGGATATATCGGTTATGCGAAAAAATCCTTGCATCCAGCAACATTTCAAGTCTGCTGCAATCCTTATCTAGGCACATCTAGCGCGAAGACAAACTATAGTGGCAAATTATCCAAGAAAATAGCCAAACACGACTGTTCTACCTATAAAATAAAGACATCCAAAAATCATAATTAGTCGTCTCTTAAAAATTATTTTATTATGTATATACTTCATTGCATACAGTCTATTCAGGCTAAATTGGGACAAATTTCGACTCGCTGTTTCTCTTAGTTAGCATACGCTCCTTTGCTATGCTTCGTGCTAGAAAAAAGTCAGGTCCTTTTAATATAAAATTATAAACCCACAGTGAGTTCATTTTATGAACCGCGATCAGTCACCATTCTTATGTCTTTGCGCCGGGTACACCGTCATCCTTATATAGGCTTAGAGGTTTTGGTCAGGAAAGCGACCGTTGACGTTGTTGCCAGTTTCCACGTGGAAACGTTCACATAATATAATGAAAAGATCTACAACACAAGCAGATTTGAAAGGGCTTACCTATTTATTAAAAATATGCAAAAAGAACTTCGGGATGATACCAGGATGTCGTCGCCGAAACTCAAGGCTTTGTTCGAAAAGAGGTTTTATATAGGCAATCGAGTCATCCACAAAGAAATAAACCCCATGTAATATAATAAAAAGGCAAAAGTGTAATCTATTGTAACTATGTGTTCTCTAAATGTAGCAAATGAACAAGCAACATCAAGCCTGTCCCGATTTATCCTGACCACCGCGAATTATATATATATATATATATAATATTTTTCTTCGTTGTTTCTTTCGCTATCATTTCCTTCCCACTTTTTTTTCCATTCTTCAGAGCTGACTCTATAATACACAAACAGATAACTGTCATTTTCAATAACTGTTGAAAATAACAATAAGCAACATAGTCATACTGGTTCGTTCTCGAGTAATTCTTGTAATACATCTGCATACGCTTCTTTTGTCGGGCAACTTCGTCAGTGTACGCTTCCTTTTTCTTTTCGTCCTTTTCATTAATTTATATTGGTCGATATCGTTATGGTGTTTGGCTTGCGGTATCGATAACATTCACATAGAGTGCTAACGACGAGTTCTTATGACGCTGATGCTAACAACAATGGTACGCAAATAGACAACACGTACGCCATGCACCTGCACTCATTGGCCCGGCACAATCCTCTTAATTATCGATCACTCGGTACGTTCTATACAAATAACACCGTAGCATGCAATGGTTTAAAACTAGACGTTGGGTTCATCAGACGATCACTCTCGATAACCTACGCAATCATACATCGATTTACGGCAGGAATTAAACAAAGAAACGGTAATTAAGAACGATATAACGTTTTCATACATAGTACAGGTTTAAAATTTTGAGAATTGCTTTTGAAAGCAACTTAATGTTCCTTAACAACAATAGCAACTTAACAACAAATCGCACAACCCTTTAAAATACCCAGACCATTCAATAAGCAAAATGGCGCTGCATCTTTATCCAATTGTTGTTAGTCAATAGAGCCAGAAATATCCCAAAAGGATCTGCATATTCAGGTGGTTTTTGCTCGTTAAAATATCTGAGTATATGTAGAATTCTGCTTGCTAATAGTTATATGTATATTTAGTTGTAAGTAAGGCATCTGCCATCGTATTCTTTGAAGGGTAACGTCTTGAGAAAATGTCTTGTTCGCTAGAAAAAACCACCACTTCCTTTCGTTGATAGCTAGCTAGACGCATTAGCTTGTGATTGTTGACCTTTAAAGAGTAACTGTGCAGGTCAGTTCAACACGATATCAATTGTAGGCGAGCCAAAAACAAAAAAAAAAAAGAAAAAAAAACTGCCACAAAAAGGCCCTAGGAAACAGTTTTGAACGGACTTTTAGAACAAATTCAAAGTTAACACTTTGGAAAATTTCCCGCTCTGATTTAAAAATGCTATGTTAACGTTCAAGGACTATTAACGATAGATATATATAGATATATATATATATATATATATCTCGGAAAAAGTAATGCTGCACACATGCAACAACTAACAATTTGACAACTCTACGGATATATTAATCATATTGTAACGCATACTACACGGCATATATATCTTATCTTATACAGGGACGATAATAGCGTTTCATCTTTTTTTTTATTATTATTATTATTATTATTATTATTATTACATAGTCATTATATATTCAGCCTGATTATAATGTTATATTTCCTCTTTATTTACTTACAATAATATATAGTTGTGACAATAACAATAATATTATAACCCACTTTGTGTCATATTATATATACGATTGTATTTTTAACGCTCGCCGTTACTCCACCAGCAGTGTCCTATATCTTTTGCTTTTTCGTTTCATTCACGTATGTGGCTATATGTAGGGGGCGACTATATACTATGACAAATAGTGATTTTTTATAATATTGCATTGCATCTGTCTAGATATATATATATATATATATTCTTCAAGTCTATAATGTCTATTCAAATATATATACATACATACATATATATATATATGTGTATATATGTATATATAGACTACCGTATGTGTATATATAATGAGAAATTTGTAGACTTTGTATGTACAGCTCTACTCTGGAGTCACAGAGCGTGGATGATTATGAGGATTTGCCAAATTTGTTTGGTTATTGTCTGCCGAAAACGCTGTCATAGTGCTAGAGTTTTTACATAGGTCAATTTGCATACAGTCTAGCAGTAAAAGAATATGGATCGGTAGAACTGGTGCACAGGATATTACCAACTTCGCCAGCTACTGCTTCTTGCACGCATTGGCACTCTGCAGTTATTATAACGATGCACGGAGTCGATTTAACAAAATTTTTTTGCACCCCTCCATCTTCATTGTTTATGTACAAGTATACAGGAGTAGTCTAGCCGTCTTAGTATATAGCGTGCATATGGGTATTTTTAGAGTTAGCAACGTATTCACTTCGACTCAAAGAGGGTCATTATTCGACAATATTACCAGGCAACTCAGCTGTAGGCCTTTACACACCGTGGTACTTTAGTTCTTGCAACGACAGCTAAGGGTAAACGTATGCACAAAGCAGACGTTCGTCTCACAAGGGTTCAATCAAAAGAAATAACTAAGTCACGTACAAATTGATTCAGCGGGTCGCATGTGTACAATAAAAAGTTCTATTCATGTAATAAGGGTATGCTTTCAATAGGGGGTTATTGGTCCGCATAGTGTGCACCACCTGGGATATACGCTGATGTACTACATACGTCAGGCAGTTGGGCATCGTAAAGGAATGAAAAGCAGTTTGTTTCAACTGAGTATCGAATTGTGCACAATGATGATATCAGGTAAGCTCTATAATGGGGGTACTGCGTTTCGTCTTTCTAATATAACTGCTGAGCTGCCAAACCATAATAATAATACCGCTACATAATGCTACATGACCGATCTGACAATTCAGCTTTGTGTTAGATCGACTCGACCAAAGTTTTCGATCTTAAAGTCAACACCATTGAGGGCACGAATCTCAGGGGCGGATGTGTCCAGCGCGAAAACAAGATATTTTTGTAATTAACATGTATAAACGAAAACTCTTCCTAAGGGATTAATTGACTAAGTTACTTGATCGAAATTGCCGCGACTAAGATAGATGCGCTGTCCCAAACCCCCAAATGACTCTTGTGAAAATCAAAATTCTCTAAATACATAAAATACAAGTACAGACAAGTAACAGTGGTGGGCTAGCTGGAGAGCCAAGATAGCTCGAGGCTAAAGGTTACTTTCTCGCACTTCACTGCTAGCATTACGTATTCTACATAGAGCCATATTGTTCATTAGATGTGTGTATGAACTACCATTATTGTATAATCTGTTATTGTTGTACTAACCGACGCAGTCTGTCGGCAGTGTGAGTGGTGTATGTTTCTATATATATAGTTTCTCTATGTATTAGGCTTACTACCTTGTCTTTTCAAGCAGAATAGAAACATCATCAAAGATACATACAATAGTAATAGTACAACAAGGGTGAAGAAAGGTCCGACGCCAGCAACATGTGGGTATAATTACCCTAATATTTTCGAGATCTCTCTATCCATTGGGACGTGAAAGGGAAAATGGGATACTGGACATTATGTTGCGCTCAGAGAAGTTACCGGCAACGTGAATAAGATATACGTGTAAAACTCTTTCAGTGGCGCCCTTAAAAAAAACGGAAGTCACTGTCCATTTGCATCATTCTGTACCTATATATTAATAACAGCTCCTCTTCACAGAACTGCGTATTCTTCTGGCATTCAGTTTTCGCGCAACTGTCATGGACTCCTGAACAACGTTCTTATGCAACAAAAGCAAAACCGTTCTTCACTCCGTGTGTATTGTCAGTAAGAGTTAAGTCCGCGCTTTAACTGGTGCTTGTAAAGTTCGATCGCTTATTTTGCCTCTGATATTTGCACCGGGCTAGCTGACTTTTCTGAAGGATATGGACTCTTGAAAGCAGGAGCTTCCTCCTTGATTCTTGACGCCAAGGTTTCTACGGTGTTTTCTTCATTGTCACCTTTAGCAGACTACTCTAACTCTATTGTTGTACCCTGCGCATTTATATTCATGTCTTGAGTACTGGACTCGGGATTAACTGAATCCTCGACGTTGTCATTGGTGGTTTTTACAGACGCAGCGAAATGCTCCGCGCTCATTTCCAACTCTTTGAGTTCATTGCCGAAAAACTCCAAACGGAAACGGACGTCGCCGCGACCAGAGGCGTGCGACTTGCTGTTGCCCGCAATAGCCAGTTCCCCATGATTCTCGGTATTACCTTTAAACATTAAATACCTTAAAGTGTCTCATAAACAGAAGGCGTCTCCAGTGACCCTTCAGCCCCCATCGAGGTCTCTATAGATATCTCGTCGGAAACACACACAGATTCGTCATCTTGAGCCGAAGTCCCCGATGGCCTCGTGTCATGAGCAAACTTCGCCGAAAGTTCCTCATCTTCGACAGGAGCTTTCGGATCGGTGTTGCCTTGTGTACACGTTTTTGAGAACGCGTCATGCTGAGCCGGTCTACCTAAAGAATTCCGGTCCCTAACGGGACTGTCTGAAGACTTGTTGACTTGAGTAGACGTTTCTGGATCATTTGTGTGTACACTGGAGCTACCGAGATTTTTGAAAGTTAGCGAAGAAGCTTCTCCCATGTTCGTTTCTTGAGCTGCGGAAATTAGTTCCTCCATCGGACGTTCATCTTCAGCGTCGTTGGCTTGATCGGCGGGGTTGCCTGACTCCGCTGTGATTTGTTTGGGATAGACCGAATCGTCGGCATTCCAAGGCGAGGGACCTTTGCTAGCTTTGTAAGTGTGGGAAGCAGCTGCTTTACAGTCAGCTGTACTACCGGCGGAGGAATTACTACAACGAAAAGATTCTTGCAAATAGCCTGCGTGCGTAGAGCTCATCGCTAAAATTTCTGAGCGTCTAGACTCGTGTGGAACCAGACCTCGTAGGTCGTTTGCCACTTCAGCTCGGCTAGCGTAAGCAGTCGGCGACCTACTTCCTCGGACGTTTCCATCTAAAAGCTCTAACGACGCTTCCGATCGGGCGGGAGAACTATTGGTCTGGCTTATTTTCTTCTTGTCAACATCTTCAATGACCTGCGGAATTTAAATATTTCGATTAGAAAATGGAAGACTAACACCAATAAAAGTCCAATTGCAGTACAAATAATGCTAGCAAGGAATTGAATTAGGAAGGCACACATGAGTAATTAAGAATCGAAACATTAAACTAATTCAAGTTGTGATGAAAAATCTCGGATTAGAGTCCAATTGAATGGCCATATTGATATATTTTGAAACAATTTTTAAAGTTAGTATTTTATACCTCGCCCACTTCATCCGTTCTACGCTCTAGATCGTCATCGAAGTAACTTATGTCCCGTTCAGAAGTGCTATTCATCTCATGAGAAGCCTGGAAGTCCTTGGATTTATCCTGAAATAATGCCTATTATAACAGCGGTTTGACTCATGGGCGCCTATGTCCCAAAAGCACCTTGCCCTACATATATAGACGAGGATACTACAAATATATATAGATATTATGTTCGCAACGAAACCCACATAACGATCCATGAATAACAAGCCTTTTTCAAGTAATACACTATCACCTAGTAACAATTTAATTGACCAACTTCTCAATGACTTCAGCATATGATTAAATGACGATGTACCTTATTTACCGGTGATTTCGTACAGGCGATACCGGCATCCTGAATTTTTCCTGTTCGTAGTTTTTTACGAGTAATAAAAATGGTCGAGCCACTTGTGCTGCAGGCTGCGTTTGGGACCGATGAACTGGTCAATTGTTCAGCTTCGCTACCAGTAGCTTCGTCACCTCGATCTTGACAAGCGGTAGACTGATCTACCTGCTCCATGGCTTCCCTATCCTCACTCGCTAAATCTTGATTGTGGTCATTAACTATGCCCGAGCTGCTGCTGCTGCTGCTGCTGCTGCTACTACTACTACTACTACTACAATTTTCACCTAGCGTTGCCGCTGATATCTGAAAAGCATTGCCACGATATGCGTCAGTCCAGTCTGAGAACGTCCTATATCAACTATATCAGCATACTCAGACAAACGTTTATAAATGATATGAACCTTTATACTGCTAGCAGAATTCAACAATGCTCAGCCTATGTAGCGGGTAAAGGCAATATCGTTCACTTACAATTAGTAATAAATAAGTATAATGAAACAAACCAAGCTCATTATATTAAAATAATTTCCGAGCATTATTAAATTGTACTGTAGTACATCATATACCGTACAAATCCTCACTTATCATGAAATATCGCCATTTTGTCAATATAAGCACGGTGAAAGTTGATCTAGCAATGCTATGAACGGTCAAACTTCAGTGCGCATACCTTTGAAATAGCGTCAATAGCGAAGTTGACATCTACTGAGGCGACGCCAGATGAAATTCCTTGAGAACTGGAAATATCCGATTTGTTGTAATTTCGGCTAAATTCAGCTTCGTCCCGATCATCATCTTCAAACTCACCCCTTGAATCGCGCTTACTGCCGCTAGCTTTAGCTTCCTCGGGCCCGGTTATGCTTCCCGAAACATTTTCTGCTTCACTTCCCACTGAGGCAATACCGCTATTTTCCTTCTCCGTTGAGATATATTTGCTGTTAGCGTTATTGCTGCTAGAAATATCGCGGTCGTCATCTATTACCATAGATGCCTCTATTTCATTAACAGGCCTGCCGGTACTGTTACTACTACTACATGGGAGCGATCCCTCAGAGGAAGCATTGTGTGAGCCGATGCCCCCGCTATCGTCGTTGTTGTCACCGCCATGATCAGGCGACGATGATGTTCGCGGCATCGGTCTTTGTTCACTGGTGCTTTGACATCGCCCTCTGCCAGATTCCTCGGACTGCCGAATCGCAGCTGCGATATCCGCGACACTCTGGCTGTGACCTGCGTCGGATGGAGTAACATCGGATGGAGTAGCCGACGGCAGTAAGGTGTTCTGGCAGGCCGACTTGCCGGAGACAGTTGTTCGTTCTTCGCTGCTGCTGATGCTTTTCGTTGTATCCAAGGCATCTGGTCGGTCCCCGCGCCTCGGCGCGACAATGATCGAGGCATCTACGTTAAAATCTCGATTGCTTTCTGCTTCGTCCTTTTCGGCAATACCTGACTGAGCTTCTTCTTGTCTCAGCGTTTCCTGATTTTGTTGTCCTGATTCGAATCGTCGTAAGGAGCCACCTGCATCCAAAGTAGCAGATGCCTCGGATCCAGGACTGATGTCCTCAGCGATGGCGCGGGCCTCGCGCGAATTTGTTTCATCCTTACTAGCTTGTTCACTGCCATTTGATGATGGCGACGACAGCAGGCTACAGCCAGCGCTTTCACCAATGACTCCACTTGTCGTTCTCTGATCAGAGCTCGAAGACGCTCCACCTGTCGTTTCAATAGTTGATGCGTCAATGTGTAGCTGTCCAGAATTTGCTTGGTTTCCTTGTTGAAGGCTAGCCATGCTAGCAGGTGGTGGCGAAGATGAGCCGACATAAGCCCCGGGAGTCGACGCAGCTGAGGAAATGGGGGTTCCGCTTCCTTGAACTGAACTTTCCGCTGCAGCATTTTCATCAGCAATATCATCACTAGATGTAGCTCTGCAAACAGGTTGTTGCTCCGTACAAGCTTCCGTTGATGATTGCACGTCCGTGGCTTCTCGCTGACCCTCAGTATGAGATGCATCCCCAGATGAGCTAGCCTCTTCCACTAAATCATCACTAGCTTCTTCCTGAATAAGATTTGATGACGGCTGCATACGTTTGTCAGAACTAGAACATGCTTCATCTCCAGTAAGGACACAACATAGTTGTGGCTGATCTCTATCGGAGTTAGGAGACGTCTGCTCGGTCCTGGCTACCAAAGTAGACGAAGCGTTATTATCTGGATCCTTGTCTGGGGTAGTGTCAGAGCTCGATGAAGCCGCATGGTGATGCTGGGTCATCTGATCTATATCTTGGAATGCCTCCGGGTTTACTTCCTCATGACAAGATTCATTCAGTCTGTCATGCAGTGCCGGTTTGTCATCTGAGCTAGACGCATCTGCCTGATGCCCCTGTTGCCTATTGCTAAACTCGACGTCCTGGTTCACCACAGGTTTCACCGGTTCCGACTTTTCCTCCACAGCTACCTCTGCTGAAGGTTGACATGACGCTCCGATCCTCGGACTAACACGGCTCGTGACTCCTATGTCCTGTGTAGGTTGATCACTGCTTGATGTTACTTCTGACTTTTTATTGGCGGCCGGCAATGCTCGTTCGTCAACATATCTTGCCGCGGTTGATTCAGTGCACCCGTCGAGGGCACTGCTGGAACCGCTAGTGAATGGAGCCCGTAGTGAAGACGAGACATCGGCTCCACAATGACGAGGAAGATTATTAGATATACGATTTGCAGCTGTTGCAATGACAGGATCATCAGAGCTACCTGCGGCGGAATCTTCGACGCTTTGTTGTTCTACATTAGAGGCGGATTGCAGTTTAGTCGGCGGATTCGTTACCGAAACGTCTTTTGCAGTAGCTTCTGAAGGACCAGCAGCATGATGCTCTTCATCACTCTCATTGTCACTGTCAAGATCGTAACTAACCAAAAAGTTTGGCTTACTGACTTCGACGGAGAGAATCTGTTGGCCTGACGGCGAATCTTGTGATGGTGATTGCTCCGATAACGAAGAACTTGTCGTCGAACCCCGTATTCCACTAGTTGTACATTCGGAAGGTGTTGCTTTATCAGTAGGAGCATTAGCCATATCTTTATTCACTTCACTTTGGTTGTCTTCAGAATAGCAAGCAGCTTCGCGCGTTTCTTCACTCTGCGAAGGACCTGCTTTTTCAGGTAGATTACCAGTATCATTAGGCTGGGATGACACAGCTAAGTCGTCTTGGACCTTAAACGGTGATGTGTTCTGTCTACTTTCTGTTGAACCGGAATCAGGTCGCTCGCCACCTTGCCGTTCTTGATCGAAGGCTATTTTAAATGGATGCGCTTCGAGGTTGCGTTGGCTATCAGTTGAATCTAATGCAGCAAGGTCTTCTTGGTCGGAGGTTTCCGATGTGGCTACATAAAGATCTTTATTATCAACATTTCCTTCCCGACCTACCGATGACTCACTCTGGTTTTTATTAACATCACGCACAATTGGTGTGCCGTCGTCGGGGCGTCTTATCGCAGGGGAGGCCTCGGGCTCTATTCGCATAGCAGTGTGCTTGCATAAATCATTTTGCTCTGAGAAAGACGTTTTCTTTGAGGGTAACTGCCCATCGTATGGAGAAGCAGCCTGATCCTTGGAGCTTTTACTGGTCTGTTCGCTTTCAGTTCCCAACAACTCCCCCGATGTGCCTGCTACAAAACTAATGTTAGTATTAGAACACGCGAAGACCGTACCGCTGCTAGTGCCAGCGACGTTACTCTCAATCTTTTTCTCGGACCCGTAACCCAATGTAGCGGGCCCGTCATTAGATCTTGTATCGCTGCAGCTGTCATCTTGCTCAGCTTCCCTTTCGTCGTACTGGCCGTCAGGCTGCCGGAGACACCGGGCTGTTTCGGAGACACTGCTTTGCTTACCATCCGACCCTAAACTGTCGCCGGAAGCTTCTGGCTTATCCAAAACCCTTGGTTCATTTTTGAGTTGTTCTGTTGGCTGAGCTGTGGTAGTAGGATTAAGCTCAGATTCGATGTCACTTGTGGGGGCTTTCACTACTGACATCGGACGAGTCTCCTCCTTTAGTCTACCCGCTCGTTCAACATCATCGTCGTTCTCGTCAGTGTCACTTTCGCTCTCTGAGCTGCTACTTTCTTCAGATAAATTGACGCTGCTCTTCAGATCGTCGACATTGCCTATACGTGCCGATGCAGGTGTCGGCGAGCGCTCATCGTTTCCGGTAAGAAGCGATGACTGTGCTGCGGTATCTACAATTGACCAACGTGTGGGCTTTCCGCTGTTTGCCATTTCAACAGGGGTTAAAAGGACAACGTTTGAACTAAGATTTGCATTGGCTTCCACGGAACGCCGATTAGCACCGGCAGCATCCTCTACCAAGCGACTCGTTGTCGCAACGCTCTCAACGACATCTCCGGTGACGCTGCGAATCTCAGCGCTGAGTCGACGGGCCGCTTCATGCGCTGCACAATTGACATCCTCAACACGCGGCTGCTGCTGCTGATTCTGAGAAGCGACGTTACTGTCTATGACCACGGTAGCAGTCGGCAATAAGCCAATATCCCTGGTAGCAGCAGCAGCTGTGACAATGGCGCTACTGTCTTCTGTGACTAGGCTTGACACAACCGGGTCCCCAGGAGTTAGTAGCGTTTCGTCGTGATCGTGGTGGGAATCAAACGATATAGGAGATGAGGCAGCTAGCGGCGTTTCTATAAATTCTTGAGAGCGCTCGGGGTTCGCGGTAGCGAGAGCTGACGCTTCCCCAGGAGCTACATCCACTAATTCTTCGTTGACATTCTCGTCATCGTGGATACACAGCTCGTCTACTACGCCAACAGGTTCATCGACGTCAGCGTCCGCCACCTCTTCGAACTGCGGGGCCTCATCCAGCAAACCCTGAACAGCGCTATCCACGTCGGGTGCCGAAGGCCCCTGCGTGTCAGAACCGCCCAGTGTTTCCTGACGGTCCGTTTCATTCGCTACCGATGACAAACTCGAAGAAGGTCTCCCCTCAAGATCGAGTGGGTCTTGAAGATCAAGAATCGATGCTACAGCACTTTCCACATTTGGCTGCGTAAAACAAACAAAAACAACAATGAAGTAACAGAGAAATTACTCAATGATTATGGAGAAAATGCCCGTTAGAATTATCTGTCAGACCCCTAATACATAGAGGAACAAGCTAACGAGGAAAAAAGTCGAAATTATTTAAATTTTGCTTTTAATAAATTCTATCTTATCTTACTTGAAACTTCTCTGGAAGTCTCACTGTATTTTCAGAAGCACCAAAAGGCTCCTCGTGGCCTACCGGCCTGGTCTCGGAAGGTTGTTCTCGTCGTGACTTGCTGATTGCACTTGATCTGAAAATGTTCAATTGAATTTAAAGATTACATCAATAGAAGAAGAAATTAGGGACAAAAATGATGGACAAATAAACACCAATTTCATTTTATCAGCCTCTTACAGTAAGAGTGTTCGGCTACAGAAAATAACTTGGTAACCGCTGTCGTCATGAGATTAAAAGCGTGTTTACTGTTGCCCAATGTGCTAATGTCGCACAAGAGTTAGGTATGCTTCGCCGTTTTGTAGCTCGAAGCTAAAATATCTAGGCTGATAGCTACCGTTTTCAGAAGGTTCATTGACCAAAACGGTTTATTTAATTTTTTTTGTCACGCTGTCTGTTTTGATGCATCTTGGAAGCATTTCCAAGATGAACGATCGTTTGATTTCAGTTGAATAACGTATAGTGATTTGTACTAGAAGTAAAAATTTAACCATTTTCTGTCAATGAGTTTTCTAACATTGAGGTTAACTGAATAGCAAATAATGAAATAATTAGTAAAGTAAACTCTTCCTGTAATTATAATATAATTCGTCGCATAAAATTAGCTCTGTGATTTAGAAAAAAAAATGTGTATATATATATATATATACACATTTTTTATGTCAAAAAGTTAAAAATATAACCATATGTATGTTACGAGAAAAAAACGTGTATCGAGAGTATGAGTCGCTTTTTGATTAAAATTCTGTGCACCGACTTGAATAAGTTTCGTACACCCTGTGTATATATTTTTTCAATGACAACTTATTCCTGCGTTCTATGCGATTTGCGCCTGACAAGCGTTTGTAACATAACAAAGAATTAGTCCATTCATTGTTGTAGATATTTCACCCGCACCCTTTATCTCCACCGCATCATGCAACGCGAACCGATTTACGTCAGGTCTATCCGATTGAGCGTTTGTCAGAATCGTTTTCGTTCTATATGTCCCTTCCAGTCAGTGCATCAATCATGTTTGTGGCACATGCCTTAATTATCTGGTCACATAACAGTGAGACAGGGTAGAAGGCTGTGTTGCCACAGATGGATGAATCTACCATTAGCGGCGGCACAGGCAACAAAACGGGTTGATAGCGCTGCAGTAGCAGGAAAGGGAATACGAGTTCAAGCAGTGCTTACCATTTAGCAGCTACACTGATGGTGGACAGAAAACATGGCGGAAGATTTTCAAATCTTGGATTGGACAAAAGGATTTGTGCTCACATAAGAAGAGCAGCCATAAATCAGCTACAATCGAGTTAAACAACTCTGCCGGTCCAAATATACAGCGATTATATATCAATAGGTAGATTATTTTCAATGCACACAATGCAGAGAAGAAAAAAAAAGAAAAGTATAGTAATAAGATTGTAATTTTCACACGGTGAAACCAATTGTACTTGTGTAGTAGTTTCGATGTTGTCATTATCTTTACTGTTCGAAACACGCATCAAACCTTTAATTGACTGTATTTCTTAATTGTTGTTGTTGTTGTTGTTGTTGTTATTATAAATTTCGCTACGCAATAGGGGAGATGGGAATGAAGTAAAACAACAGCTACCTATCGAATCATTGAAAGAGCAGCAACAAGCAGTTGGCTACAAGGGAGAGATTTAATTCTCAGAATAGGTTATCCGCTTCATTGATCGATAGTCTTCTCCAAGCTAATTGCAATCTTACATTCGCATAATCGACAGCCACGCTTATTACTGATGCCGGCTTAAACGTACACGTGCACATAGATCGTTCATTGCAATGGTACGGTACGGTACGGTACGCACTACGAATGGGGAACGACAAAATCCTTGCAAGCAAGGATAACGAATTGTTCAGATATGATTCACAAGCAGTACGCGCATGAACCGAATCCCGGCAGATTATATTGTAATGTCAGATAGATTGGAAATTGTAAAGATAATGAAATATGGGGCCGCGTGGAATAAATAAGTCTTTTAAAAATAAAACATTCGATATCGGCATGCACGCATAACTTCTATGAGATTATAATTAAAGTTAAATTTAAATGGTTGCAAATGCGTTTCTCTACAATTTACTGTTAATAAAAAAAAAAAAAGAAAAAAAAGAGTGATGCAACAAGCAGTAATGCCATGCGTTTCTGATTACTCACTACAGTGTGACATTTGGTCGGTAATTATAAGACGACATGATACTTTCCCCGAAAATGAATCCCCATTGATAGTAGAGTAATTATAGTAAGTTCGTTGACAAAAAAAAAGTGTCCTAATAGTCTAAATTAAGACAAAAAATCGTGACATCTAAGCAACATTTTTTGAAACAGAATCATTACATAGAGTAGGTAGATGAGAGAGAAATTTATTGATTATAATTGCCGTTCACGCATCTATAAACATATAGCATTAACCTGAATGGAATAAATTCTGAACATGAATTTGAAGTTTGAATCACGCTAGCTATCCTTTTCATATTCTTTATGATACCTTTATCATACCTACAGTACTCAATGAAGATGATTTAATAGAAGAAGCACGCTTTGTTGCGGCCTAACATGCCGAATATACAATGAAATAAATATGAATAAGTAACGATCGTGTGAGGTGGTAAATAAAAGGGTGATGTCCTAGACGAAATGTCTACCAAGAATTAGGTAATCTAGGTATTATTATTTTTTTTTTTTTTGAAAAAAATCTGCAGGTCATTTTTTTCGGAAACTATTTATTGACAACGAGAATGTTTACACAATACATCACACACACACACACACACATATTGAATTCCCAGTAATAACAATAACGACCTATTTTCCAATTGCTAAATTACTGGGCATTTACGATTAGTAGAAAACAGAGGGATATCTATCTACCAATAGTACCATTTCATACTTGACCGCCGTTTCGAATGTAACAGCAGCCTTCTCAAGTTTTGAAGAGTCCGCCCTTCACTTTTCACTGAAATTTGACTATATATATATATATATATATATATATGTATATATATCCTCGCAAATGTATCAAACGCATATTAAACTTAAGTAGGAAGCCACAAACTTTGAGCCGCAAAGCTCGAGTATCAAATAAGAGCTTAGCTCAAACAACAACCTTCAACAATTAATCCCATGCTCCAGAATGATTATTTCTCTTGCGGCCGACCTGAATACTGAAAATTCTGCTCACATTCGAAAAACGTTGTTGGCGCAAAATCAGACAAGCTCACCGCAGAATCGAAATGTACATTTGGTTCAACATTGTGAAGGGTCCGAACCCTTTGAATACCGACAGCGTCGATAATAATAAGAAGAGACCTGCTAAAGGTAAGGACGCCCCAACACATAGTTTTAGATATAGTTAGCATAAAAAATAGCTGCATACGTCTAACAGTTGTCATCATTGAGGGGCACCTCCAGCCAATGCAAAGCATACTGCGTTGGCGGAAGCGCATTGCAATTGCACGTATGCTGCTTTGCATTCAGTCACAAATTAAAGTATATATCGTATAAGACAGATATTTAACTTAACTTAAAACAGACGTGCATCTCCTGTTAAAGTTCCTGCTAGCCAGACACTAGCAGCTTTCAACCGGGAAGATCGTAAAATTTTTGCTTAACTATTTTAATTTAGCAAATACCGGAGTACAAGCAACACACGTTCGAAGGTTTTTGCCAACGATGGGTACAAACTTGGTCTACCATGACCAACATGCCTACAATGAACCCTATGCAACGTATAATTTCTACTATTGTGAATATGTAACACAAAACTACTAATCGTCAACTAGTAAGAGTTTAAAATAATTAAAGTATTGATATACACATCAAGATTCCTATGTATCCTCTAAGGTACAAATAGATAATTGCCATAGTATGATTGAGATTTTCAAATTGACGCTGGCGTAAGCAAGCATTAGAATCCTTGTGAAAACGCCTATACATGGGCCTCCAGGCCATTGTGAGAAAATCCAGCTCCATTGGAGCCACAGAACTCGTCACATCTTTCGACGATTGTGCTGATGAATACGTAGTAGAAGGTTTGCTATTTTCCGGGTCGCCTGGGGGGTGTAAAAGGCCAGGTTTGCGGTGGAAACAAATTTCTGCGACAGTGACGCGTGTATCCAAGTAAACTATTTGCAGGATTAATCCAGTTTTGAAGCTATTAGCGTAACTATTACAGGTGAAAATGATCCGCTTTGGGGAGGTGTGGCGGCTATTGAGGTGTGGGCCTTCGCTAGATCCATAATCCTATCGCAGGTTTCTGTGGAAGCTGGCATCCCCATAGATTTGCACACAATTTCCTCACACCTTCACGACATCAGGTCTTCGTATGGATTGAAGAATTCCGAGAAACTCCCCATAGGGGATTTCGCACTAAAACATATAAGATTTGGCCAAATCTGAAATTGCGGTCACCAATAGCTGTTGGGGCCGCCAGTACGGCTAGTTTACTACCTAATAAATGGGTAAATTACTGCTTTAAACAAAAGCTTGACAAGACGTCGCAACATCGTTACGAGAAATCTGTTGTAAAAAAAATCCGTTTAAAACGTATCAGAACAAACCGTCGTTGTAGCCCGCAGCGGTTACTAAATATGAAGTTCGAGTACGCGTTGCAAACTGGTCAACTTTTTCACAGTGCCATAAAAAAAATTTAAACGAACTTAATATCCCGCGTTTGCTCTGATACCGCGATAAAGGTGCGTTGTATCACAAGGTCTGAAAGCAAAACGTCTATTAATATAGAATCTATAAATTATCATTGAACTGACCGGTGGCTGCTTTCAGCTTCGCTCCAAACAGATCTTTCGAGGGCCGCATTCTGATCGTGATCCGCGCAGAAGACCGCCTCCCAAAGGTCGTCAGATTCACCCGCGCCTGAAACGTTGCCTGTGACTGATGTTTCACGTTCGATGGCGGATGCAATGTCCTGCAATGTAAAAGACCAAATCAATTATAAATTCCGTAAGTTACGTAAATAATAACGATGTGGACGTTACGCTAGACGTAAGTAAATTAACAGAAATCAGAGATTATTCATCTTTTAAGTGTTTGTATTTTGTTCGACTTAGTAACCGTTCGTTTTCTTATAATACTAATTCCGGAATCAACACGTGATAAAACATTTTCAGGGAGTTTGTTTTTAAAGAGTCTGCAACCGTAATTGGCCTTACCGGAGTCACATCTCCAATGCTGTCTTTATTTTCGCTTTTTTGCTGCACGGACGTGTCCTGATTGGGCTTGCTTATAGTAACGTGAGGAATATCGTCGTCCTCTGCATCATCAGGATCGCCCAGGATAAGGCAAACCTCCTCTTCTTGCTCTTGCCCATCAGTGAACGTTTCGTTTGGCTTTTCGTGATCCTCTACTAATTTACTGGCTTCGACTAATTTGAACAAGAAATGAACGGATAACATGTTAGAAAACTAATTATCTGCGCTATTCTCTAATGATATTTCTTTAACTAGGGATAAGAAAAGATTGCCTTTACGAGATAAGAGAGAGCAGATTGGTATTACAAATGTTTTCAGTATCGTAAAGGCACATTTTCGTGACTATAGCCAGACATGTTTGCTTAGCTTTACCTTTGTCGGTAGCTTTCGAGATGACATCTTCCTGGATCGTTTTCTCGTTTACAATATCCCCTGTCGAGGCGACATCCGTATTTGTGACAGTTTTAAGATTTTGTCTCTGTAAGGATTCGGCTAGCTTGACTGATTCCACGTCGTCACACAAAGTGTCCTCTGATTTGGGTCCATCGTGGTCAATCGACTGAGCTAATCTTTTAGTGTCCTCTTTGCCAGATGTATCGATCTTGACTAAATGTTCAACTTCAACCTTTGGCTCTCTTGATGTTTGGGGTGCGGATGATTGCACTACTCTCATGTTGGGCTCGTGTTTTGGCCGTGCATCGTCTGCTGCGATGCTCTGCAACTGGACGACGACCACGTCGTCTACTCCAACTGCTTTATTATTCTCGCGTTTGTCGCTAATCGCATTCTGTGCAGTTTCGATATAAAGCGCCGTAGTCTTGGAAACAGCATCTGCAGCTTGCCTGTCACGATCAGCTGATTTCTCATCTGCAATTGTGTCACAACTGCCAGTAGTATGGACCAATGCTGCTTCCACTTTCGGTCTAGCAGTATCCTCTAGTTTCATTATCGATTGAACCAATTGTGGAGGATCGCTTTCTAACAGAACACTTGCTGCAGCTTTTCGTCGACCTCGACGTTCTCTCGTTGGTATCGTCGCAGGGAGGGATTCCGGCCCGCTTTCGATATTGCTTTCACCGGCCTTCTGAACCTCTTTTCCTACGATGGTTAGCTCTGACTTATTTAGTTCAAACTGCTGTTTAATGCTAGTTTTAGTTAATGCCGGTACCGTAGAAGATATCGGCGTAAACAACTGCGCTAAATGTTGCTCACTATCGCTGCGACGTACCTTCATCGCACTTGCTGACGGCGACACCGTTGCTTGGGTCAATACAGATTCATCCGGAACAGAGGTATTATCATTAACAGCTGTCTTGTAAGAGTGTTCGGTAATGCTTTTGTCGGTGTACTCTACGCTGACTTTGTCCGCTAAGACATCTGCTTTATTGTGGTGTCGCGATGATCGACTTCTTGAGCTGCGTGTGCCATTTCCGGAACTATTCCCACCGCTAGTCGCTGCCGAAACAGTGTTCGATACGGTAGCTGTAGTCGTCACTGCTGATTTTGCACTACCCTTAACGAAATCTAAAGCCTGCACTTTAGCGTTGTCATCTCTCTGACAACGCGAAGAGCGCTCTCGGCCTGTTGTAGCGGACGAGGTAGACGCCGTAGCGGCAACCGCGTTCGATGCGGATGAAGTTGTGGACGAGTATTTCTTGAGGGAACTTTTCGAGGCGAGGTGGCTAACGACTGTTGACGCTGGCGTTGATGCTTTTTCAGCGGCTTCATTACGAAGGGCGGTCCCACCACTTTTCATTAATTTGCTGGAAGCCACGTTGGCAGATTGGTAGACTGTTATTTCTTCATAGGGCTCACCAATGAGGGCGGCAACTGCAGCCTCAACAGAATCTCGTCGGCCAGACGTCGTTGCCGGCGTCACCGAACATCTATACATAGAAGATGTAAAAAACGATTCTTTGGGCGTGACCGCGGTGCTAGTTGGTTGCTCGTGCCTCTCCTTAGAAGACGTGTTCTTCACTTGCTTATAAAGCAGGCTTTCCGTTTCTGGAGCGTCAACTGGCGCAGTCGTATGTTCCATTGGAAGCTGACGCCGTACCTGCCTTAACCTAGAGAAACAAACGTGAAAAGTAAAAACTTCAGAAGCGAATAAAGAGGATCCCATAACAAACCTTTCCAGATTATTTGCGAGTTCTATGAACATCATCATTCAATTCATTTAAAGAAACCATGTTCATTTATAAGGCATAAATTAATAATCCTTAACTATTAATGCATATACCTCCGTCGAACATTACTTACGTCGCTTGCAAGGTAGTCGCCATGTTTAATTGGGGTTGCGGTCGTTGTGACTCCTGCTGCTTATTACCTTTACCGCTATCGTTACGTGTGTCTGCTGGATCGAAAGCTGCTTTTAACGACGTTGGTTCAGGGGGCTTAGTTTCAACTAACGCTTTTATTGGGGACGCACCGAGCAACCGCAATACGCAGTCATCTATATGCGCAAAAAAAAAAGAAAAATTTTAGTGGAATATTAGAAAATGTTAATTGTCGTTTGCAACGAAGCAGACCATTTATCGTGTTTCTTTACGTATCTTTATAAGGTAAAACTCAATGGCTGTACGGTTCGGACTATAAAATGAAGCGTATTGTTTTACACGAAATTTACGTCGTACAATATTTCTTCTGATAAATCGCCAAAACTCACCAAGTGATGTGCTCCTTGCAGGTGGAGCAGTGCCAGGTTCATTCCGAGCTTCACAGGTCTGAGTTTCATTGGAACAACCTATACAACTACTTAATGCAATAGTGGTTTCAGAAGCACTTCCGCCGCTTTCGGTGGCTGTAGTAGCAGCGCCATTTTCTCGGCGTGGCCTCTTTGATCGGGGTGGTGTAGGAAGCCGTTGTATGTCAGGACTTCGACTTTCGTCATTCGCATGACATTTCTGTAGTCTGCTTTCAGCTTCCTTTGACTGGGATAATGCGATTTTGATTTCTGCTTGCTCGGCTTTTTGCTTCAAGTTCGTTTTTGAAACGGTAACAGGGGGCGCAGTGTCACTTAGTTGTTTTGCCGTCAGTTCGGTCCTCTCTAACAGTACGATAGGCTCTCGTAGACTAACGGCTTGGGCACTATCAGTTGAGGACACAGACGTGTTTGAACAGCGACCTTCCCTTCGGGCCAACCTTTGCACAATATTCTCAACCTAAAATTGGAACGATTGGAAACCGTTAGAAAGGTATTGACAATCACGATTTGCGAAAAACACATTAAGAGAGATCAAATTAAACAACGAATAGGCTTAAAGGTCGACGCTCGTGACAATATAAAATGAACTTAGTGTACAGAATATATCTTATTGAAATGATTAAATTTGACCAATTACTTCTGAGCTTTAAGCCACAAAATTATACGTTTAAATTCTTTATTTGTATCATGGCCCAACGTTCATGTGCCGATTATCTTTCATTGAATACCAAACTAACCTTGGATCTCTTGCGGGTCTCGCGCTGATTGCGGTCTGACCTTCTCGTGTCGGAGCGGTCCGAAGGAGGGCTGACAGACGCTGCTTTAATCGATCCAGATGGTGATGATTTACTAAGCAATTCCTTAATGTCATAAGAACTGGATGTTTCCTTCGTAAACGTCGTAGCACTTGGACTCGTCTAAACAGAAAAAAAAAAAAAAAAAAAAGATATTTTGCGTTTTAGACAACAAATATTTAACTAAGCGTCTAATATGCATTGACACGACGCTGGCGTGAGTTTGCTCAGTTCGCTATGTAAATGTACCGCTTACAGAAGGCTGCTCATGGATCTGACTGCCACTGAATTAATAAGCACAATACAGTACCTGAAGGCATCTGTTTTAGGATTAAAACCTATGAGTCAAAATTCCCTCAATAAAAACGCGTTATATTTTCTGACTTTTTAAGAACAGACTAGAGGGTTGAACGAAGTTAAGCTTGTAATAAATTGAAGTCAGAATTGAGACGGAATGAGCTTTACATCATGTGGAGTAACGTTCTGACGTTGTTGTTCGCATCTAGTGTTTTTTAAGCAATGACAAGATTACAAAAAATAGTTCAATATTATACAACTAATTTATCGGGTCCATTCAATTGTGGTTCCTGATAAACGTACTTTCTTCTCAGTTCTTTCTGGCGACGAAACATCAGGCAAAACAGGTAAGGTAGACAAGGAAGACTCCGAGGCAGCTTCAGGCAGTGCTTTTGTATTAGCCGGTGCTCGCTCAGTGGAGGACGCCTGATTCCTCATCTCGCGAAGCGCCCCACCACGACCCTGCAATGCGAAGAGCCACCCAAAATAAGTACTCGGCACAAGCTAAAAACCGTCTTTCTGACCGCTTATAAACAGTTGTCCCTTAATTTTTAACAGATAACTTCCGATCTATGAGCAGCTAAAAGAGACTATATGAAATTTAAATCCTAGAATACATCTGCAGTTTGCCAATGAAAAATACCTTGCATAAATTAATACACTCATGGCTGATCTACAAGCTTATCATAGTGGTTGGTTTTTTTTTCAAATTCATTTGGCATTAAATATTTTCTATTTATGCTACTCATTTGTCAAACTAAAAACGCAAACGAAATTTTATCAAAACCCATTTATTATCTTGTTACTACAGATCTTCTAGCTGTATGATGTCTAAAACGAAGTACTTTAATTTTTCTTCTTTTCGTGTAAAATATTAATGCAGTCTATGCGCTACAGATGTCTAGAATATGTACCGTTAGTAAGTAGTAACAATGCCTCGTTAGCCCCACTAATTGCTCAGAACTGTAATTAGCCCTTGAGATAGCAATGCATGTTACGTCTCTACCTACAGTATTTTAGTGTAACTTCTCTGTAGTTAGAAAAAGCTTAATACATTTTAAAAAAATAATTCATAACGCCCAGGCATTTCCTACCTTTGTGCTTCAAGATATCCAACAATTTTAAAAGCCGCTGTGATATACCTTGAGTGGATAAGATTCTACCGTTTTCACAGAATTTACTTCGTCAGCTATTACACTCTAAGTTAGTAACTTACTCACACGGATGCATGCTTTCGTGCGTTCCGCTACGAAGGAAGAGAACAAGATTCAATCTATGTGCATAGATGTATAAAGAGAAAGAGAAACTTCGATAGAAAAAACGCAGAAAAGAAGCCGTTTTATGATCAGCTTACCTTGCCGGGCCGGGATAGTGCGGAAGTTGGGGGTGCCAGTGCTGCTTCTTGTCGTACTTGTAACGACGGCTGATGCTCAGCTGCTGTCGGAAGTGCAGGGTCGTCACATCCACCGTGAAGGGCCAGAAGAGCCGCTTCGATTGGATCGTCTACAGGCAGACTCTGTGCAAGCGTAGGCCAATTGCAATTGGGCGAAGACATCAATAATAAGAGTGTGCGAAACGGCATTCATAGGTACGAACGCTGTATACATAACAAAGTATCGGTGCATCGTGTTCGGGTGTTGAGAACATTTATTTCTCTATACACTGAGTTCAAAAATGTATTGCAATGCCACTTGTAGATGGAAGCAATTTTTTTTTTATTAACTGGCCTTAATTGGATAAATAGACTTGAATTGAATGCACGGTATCTGCTAAACTATAGCTTCGTATAAATCGAATGACTAGATTTGTTTCTAATGAAAACTTGCTCATTTATCATAGAAATGTGACTGCAATAACACTTCATATTAATTTAGTAACGTAAGAATAATTTCGGATGCTGCAAAAAGGGTTTTTTTTGCGTATTTCGTAGATACGTGCGAGGTGATCTAGGATCAACCCTTGATGTCGACCCACTTATATATATATATAAAAATTCCTGCACATCGTATTCTGTTTGGCTCGTATTAGTTTTTCAGTGAGGTTATATAGCGGTATCAAAGCAATTTAAAGCGTTTTATAATATGCGTTTGTGTGTGCCCATGCCTAGATGTGCATGTCTACAGGCGCTTATTACGCTGGCAAATTTTGCCCACAGGTCAATGAGTAGTAAATGCTAACGTTATGGTGACGTGGTTGTAACAAACTGTGAGTCTGCGTCGTTTCGAAATGGTATGAACGTAAGTCCACAATGGTTATCATATTAGGCGGTGCGGTTTTTACATTGCACAAATGCGCTACCACGAGCTTTATAGCGAAAAAAACAAAGTCACCACCATGGTGTTGACGGAGTGCATGAAGTCCACTACGTAGCGCTATACAAATATTGTCATACTTCAAAATGTGCAAATGCAGAACGGTAACATGAATACAAATAATTTAAGATAAATTATTATCTTTTTTTTTACCTCCTGAGCAGCGGCATCCTCATCGGTGAGTTTTTCTTGTGCCGAAGCGGGCACACTTTTTATTGCCGTAACCACTACAGTACTTTTAACATCCTTGTCTTTGTTATGGCGGTTCGATTTATTGAGCTTCTTGTTCGGCTCGCCGCCGCTGCCGCCGCCGCCGCCGCCGCCAGTACACGGAGTCGCTGCAGTCACATCGTCCTGAGATCTGAGACGCTTTCCTCGCGTCGGTCGGCCCTCCTTGGTCTCCTTATATATTGATTCTATCTGATTATCGGCTCGATTTGTCGTTCGTTCCGTCCTTTTGCTGGCAAAAATCTCTTTGGGAGGCTTCGCCACATCTTGCGCCTTGTCCTTCAATGCCTTGACAGACTCGATGGACGGGCTTTTATCCAACTTTATTTTCCCATTACTTTTTGTTGCGATCGTCGACGCTCCTGCCACTGTCGCATTTCGACTCGTCCGCTCTTCCTGTCCACTTTGAGTAATTTTCGCCAGCTTGAGCGTCTTTGTCTCATCGGCTAACGTTCGCTCCTTATCTTTACCCCTATCTCGTAAACTGCTGCTAGTAGTCGCAGAACTGCTGCCCGACTTCACTACCGGTTCGACCTGATCCATTGGAACAGGTTGTTCCGTAATGGGTCGATCTGCTGGCGCTTCACGCGCAATTGAGATGGTAGGGGCTGACGCTGTTGGTGATAATTGTGGCGCCACTGAGGAAAGAACTGCGTTTTTCCTAGGTCGCCCACGACCTCGCTTCATAGGAACTGGTGTGGCCCCCTGAACAGGCAGCGTAATCACTGGCTCGACAACAGGCTTTGGTTGTACTGTTGCAACGCGCTGTTGCTCCGCCTGATTGGTAGTAATCTTTGTCATTCGAGGACTACTTTTCACCGCCGTGACGGGCTCAGTTTTCGAGATCGTAGCAGGTGGCTGCACAACGCCTCGCCGTCGTTTCGTCGTCTGCAATGCAGACAATGAAGACACCAGTTGGTCTTCTCGCACGACGCTCCCTAATGTCGCCGTTCCTGTCCCTGACGCAGGCGCTGACGGAAGTGTCGACCCGAGACGTGTCTTCTTCGTCGGCGACGGTAGCATATCAAATTTACTGACGGCCATAGCATTATGAAAATTACTGCTTGCCGTTCGCGAACGTGTTGCTTTCCCAGATTTAACACCCGAATGAGCAGCTGCGTGACCACCATCCGTTAGGGTCGCGTCTTTGGTGGTACCTATAGACGATGTGCCTAGGGCGCCTCGATAAGCTGTCGAAGAACTCTCTGTCGCCGCAACAGTACTTTTGTTTTTTCGAGTAGTAATACCCTTAGTTTTCGCATTAGTAACGCCAGCGGCCGATCGACCGTCGGTGACGCCCTTGGGGCTCTTGTGCTCGTAGCTACCAGGGGATTGAGTGTGGTTGTACTGACCGGCGGCGGCGCTCGCTGCTGTAGCAGATACGTGTTCCGCTGCTGTAACTGCTGTTGCGTTTGCCGTGGCCTGGAAACTCTGTACCTGTTGTGGCTGGCCGCCCGTCTGACCATGTTGGGCGAACAACTCCAACCGGCGCTGTTGCGCCTCGAGGTACTGCCGAACGATGTCGGACTGGCCAACGGCTGTGTCCTGAGAAAAAAAACAACAGAAAACAGTAGGGCACACTTTCTTGGCAATTATGGTACACAGCAGATTTCACGCCGCAATGGTAGTGTTTTTGGTTATGGGAGATTCTGCCCACTTAAATTGCCTAGTGCAAATATACTACTACTACTACTACTATTATACAGAATTCGCGCGTTAATTTCTGAAATATATGGAACATGTGCTGCCTTTATTGGGGTAAAATGTTGGCCAAACAGCGACGAACATTCTAAAGCGATATTCATGTGCGGTTATCTCTATGATACGTTAGCTACACAGTCTTTAATGGGCCAAAATGGCTTAAAAGATGGAAAGTTAAAAAGACGGAAGATTGGACAAAAGGGTATCACCTGCAAACCAATATTAGGCACAACATCCTCTTTTGCCTTGGCTTTTCGCGTGGATTCCTCGCGAAGTTTTTCAAGCTCAAGTCTCTGCAAACAGCAAATATTTTAATCGGTTAATCGATTTGTAACCCTTTGCAACGAAAGTGAAAATTGACAAGTGGTGGCTTCCCTGTCTCATCAATGTCAGCCATCTACTATACCACTCGTTCATTTCACGCGCGGACATTGTTTCCAATGCTACTTTAGAGTATATTATATCGAATACGATAGGCAATATACAGCAAGGATCTATGAGTAGTTCTGAACCAAGTCATAGCGACACATAATAAATCCCTATTGTGACAAAGATCGTAAATACGATGACTTGTTCTGATAAGCTATCATACAATGATTATATTACTAGCTTAATCCTGTCGGAAGCAACTACTGAGATTTTTGTGGCTTACATTTTGAAAAATAATTTAAATAAATTCTCACATTTTCAGTACTGCACCAGAATACAAAGACTCTTCACGTGCGGTCGTACATATCGATCGTTTATGTAAATACGTACAAGTTTAAGGCGGTCAGAAAGGTCTTTCCTAGACCCTCCCTTGCTTAGACCTCGAGTGCCACACGCCTCACGAAGTTCCGCTAATGAGAGCGCCACTAGCGCCCGCCCGTCGGGCAACCGGTCTACCTAAAATTGAGTGGAGAATAATTCAATCAGATATTACTTCTTTTGTCATTCCTTTCATTATTTTCTCGGATTGGAGACAAGCTGTATCTTTTCAGTACTCGTTTTATGAGGGTGCAGTGTTGGATAAGCTTGAGGTGTTTATCACTCTATGATCGGAAGTAGGTTTATTAGAAGTGACGTTACACTTTTTCGCCACCGCTAATCTAAACAGATTTGGCAACCAGCTCAGAAACGGGTAACAGCATGTGTTTTTTAAGCTCATTTCGGGAGTATTTTTTAGAGTGTTTATTAGTACTGCGCTGCTCAATCAAAAGAATTAAAATTGCCGGTGTAATTTCTTATGATTATATATATTATAAGATAGCTACCTCCATTGGTGAGCGATGTCTTGAACGGCGGGCCGCATGGCCTCCGCTGTGGCAGAGGTTTGCGGCCTGAAAGGCTCGTAGTTAGGCTAAACGTCCTCCCCTTTCGCGTGGAGTTGTCTATTTGAGATGCTTCCGGCTTTGTTTGTGATTTAATCAGAGTCAAATACGATCAGCACGGGGTACCTGAGGACAACAGGAAGCTAGTGTCGGGATAGGACACGATATCTGCACCTAATACAGCCGATAACAAAATAAAACAGCAAGTTAGTATAATCTATGTAAGGCGATTTACGTTGTCGTCGACCCTAACTTCTAGCTACTCGAGTTATTATTGCAGTGTACAGCACGGACTTTGATATTGTTCGAATATCGAACAGCGTGTGACGACTTCAGTCGAGGCGAAAAAATGAGCAGAAGTTTTTTGTCTTTCCCACGGTAAGGCTTCTTTGCTTGCTCAGGGCTGTGTTCTGCACGACCCCACTAGCGCCATAGGCTCCATCCAGCACTTAAAATGTAGCTGGTTTTCTATTTAACTCTATGAGTGGAGTTCTTGTTCATTCAGCAGGGGTAAATCAACGGCTGTTCCCGGCCATCGCCACTGTGATTATCATCCGAAGTAAACGCTATTATATTTAAAGCAATAGAAAATAATGCTGAACGTAAGCCGTTGTAATACATCTTAACTTCCGATGTGGAAACCTTCCAACATAGCAAACGCAGTCAAACCATCCAGTGCGAATCAAAGGAATAGAAAGGTATTTAGGATATGATTTTGCTTTCTATTCCCGACCGGGTACTTCATACGCCCTTGGTGAAATCCTAGACGTAAGCTCGTTTTTAACCCCGCGAGCTATTAATTATATTACATGTATATATTCTAATTATATATACATATTTTTTCTTTTCTAATTTTTAATATATATAAAATAAAAAAAATAATAAATAATTAATCGGCAAGGAATAATTAAAACTGCTTTCCTTTCTACAGCTCTGAATTTCAGGTTTGAGTTGTCAACTTCCCACAGCAAGTGGAACTGTGAGTTAGTGTGTACAAGAAATTGAAACAAACATACAAAAGAAAGGCAACTCATTAGGTTAGGCTGAGCTATTAAGATGTCAAGTTATATATCTGATAATTTAACAATTATTAATAAAATAACCTGAACAAGAGAGTAGCCAACATTGGGCAGTTCCATCTTCTTCAGTTGAGTGCCGTATTAATCAATTTACTCGACTACGTACGACTCGCATACAATGTACACTTAGTGTGCGTACGTAGTAACTTTTTCCGTCACACAAGATGCCTGCGAACATCATCCGCTACGTGTTGCATGGCAGTTTGCTAAGAAAAAAATGTATGTTGCGATACCGGTAATTTTCTGACTCGGCAATTGAGTATATAATGTTTGCATGTGCACATGCAGATAGCGAACTTCGGGACTATACGATGACGAATCACTTTGTCTATACAGCCCGCACGTCATATAGCGATCATGTAAGAGTTGTAACTTCAGTTCTCATCATGCCACTTCCCGTATTTCGACATAGCTTCTGCTTTCTTCCAAATATCTATTAGATTATGCATTAGCGATTCGAAAACAAGGGGGCGACACATGATGTTTTCGAATTGGTGTGGATTAATTACAGAAACGGTTATAAGCTTACGAGGTCGATTTCACAGTTTTCAACTGCATGATAACACGGGTTCTGAGGTGGAATGACGCTTTTGGCTGGATCGTTTTTGGCACTCCGACTTAACTAAATAAATGAAATAACTCAATCGAAATCGGAAAATGTGAATTTTTCTTACTTGCACCAGGGCGCACAATTCGTGTTTCAGCTGCTTATTTGTTTTCAAACAAGTGCTTGGTGCCGCTTTTGCTCCTTTCCTACATTAACTTACTTGTTACGTAACAAGATTAGTAGCAATAAGCTGCCCCGCAGTTTTGCATCTGATAACTCTTATTAATGCTATAAATGTCGTCGAAATGCAACCTAGCAGAAAGTTCCTAATAACACGTTATCTATGAACATATCTATAGTCCAGCAGTTGTTTGTTTTCCGCTATGATGGGAATTCAAACTGCATAGAGTGTTTGCGGAGAACTTGAGCTTGGATCAATTTATGATACCTTGAATTGGCACTTTTTTCCACAAAAAAGTTCGAAACTAACTCTCCAGGATCGTTTCCGCCGCCCCCCCGATGATTACACCATACGAGAACCTCCACAGGAAGTGAGCAACTGACAGACTTGAGGGAGTTTGTGAAAACCAGGTGTCGCTATGTGTAGATATGTTCAGTTAGTAAAGACAGAGGTAGAAATCATCGGCGAATAGTAAAAATGCTCTCCTAATGAAACCAAAAGTTACTTTATGACCGAAAGATCGATGTTTCTGTAGGTCGCCTTATTACTTCTAACTTTTCAACATTAGGAACGAACAGATTCAGAATCTGTCCCTCAAACACGTTTTTCTTCTCGTCAAAGATATTTCAGACAGGTGAAAGCAAAACAGATAAACATTGAAGGACAAGCTCTGTGATTTTTTTTTTCATTTACAACGTTTATTGAAGGGATTTACCGATCGTCGATGTGCTATATTTGTATTGTGTCAGGTACAGGATATTCGATCGAATCGATGAGTCGGTGACGTCCTGCGATAAGCAATAAATGAGAGTCCCTCGGGCGGAATAAGAAAAGAAAATATCTTTATTCAGGACAAACGGCAAATCTAAAGAGGGTGATGGCATCAAAGTGGCTTACAGTGTTACTATAGCAACTATTTTAACACTGAAAAGAGAAATGCATTTATGACAACTAGGAGAGGGTTATTTTAAATCATTGATTATTGCGTAAAGAAGACAGGCATGCAACGGAGAGTTGAAACGCAAAATCCGACGATTACCCAAAACGGTAATTATGAATTGGCATGAACACGAAGTAAAGTAGTAATTGACAGCCGAAGTTAATGGTACAGAGATTTTATGTTAGCTAGTAAACATTTATGCAGCAGTATTTCATTAACATCCACAAAAGCTCGTTGTGTGCAGTAATATTCTGTTTCCTGTTCCTTGAGTCTCGCTTCAAGATTTGATCATTCAAATTAAAAATCAGGCTTTCAAAAATGAGAGATGCCATGTTTTGGGGTGTTCATAGGCGTATATAGTATTATATCGCTACATCGCCTATAATCCACGAAAGTTGTGAAGTAAGTTCTGCGAATTATTACTGCATTATTTATATAAAATAATGCAGTTATTAGAAGTGTACGCTTATTTTCATACTTCAACAACACGATGATGATGTTGATCAGTGTAATTTTCCAAGTCGCTCTCAAACGGGGCAACCCGGGCTCGAACATACAAAACTAATTGAACTTCTCATAATTACATTATTAAACCTAATGTTGTAGTAAAATAACAACCCACATGGCCGTTTTTACTAGCCTGGATATCCACAGTTATATATTTATAATTTTTCATTTGTATAACGCTATGGTGACTTCTTTCAAATTCCAAGCTCAAATTGTGTTTTGGTTAAAGCTGAGTTATTTTGGACGTAAACAATTGTCCAAAGGGGCCATCGTCTGCAAGTCGCAATGAGCCCAATTTCCTATGTGCATTAATTATTCTCTGCTTAAACTTAGAAATCCATAAATAAAATAGATTTCCAAGACTAAAATTTTCTGATCTATCTTCCGTACTGAAGCAGTAATTTACTGCGGCTATCAGCTATAGAGACAACCAATAAAATAATAGACACAATCGAAGCGTTCCTCAAAGCATCCTCATCTCTTCATGCAGTAATACAACGCCAGAGTCTAACAAACCTTATTTGTATTCCTTCGCCTTTCCATTTTCTTCTGAAAACCCTGTTGAGACAACTCGTCTTCCAATGCGTTGATTGGGAAAGTTGCAAACAAATACACAAACGCACTTATAGAAAGCTCACGTTGCCTGCCCCCTCAGCCCACCTTCTTGTAGGCCAGCAACGTTTCCACAGGTTTATACGTAGGTCTGCATAAGCATAGGCTCCCACAAGTTCCTGCAGTTGCACGTAGGACTCCCACAAACTGCAGAAGCTATAGCGAAGCCAGTCCACCACAGGCGCTTACCGAAAACATAACACAGCGGTTCAGCACAATGTGATCATCACCCATTGGGGGAAAACACTACAACGATAAGGCTGCATCGACCCCATTTTCTCTTCGTTCGTCACCAAATCCAATTGCTGTTGTAGCAGCAGACCGATTCTGCGGCACGACAGTAATCGACCAGTTAGCCAAATAATGCTAGCGTCTGGTGCCTGTCTGTGTAGTCGCATGCACACCCAAAACGATCACAATAAAAATAACAATAACAACAAAAACAATCGAAATCAACGTTAACTCCTAAAGCAGGCACATTCAACGAGACAGCGAGCCGATTATTTTTCTGGAGTTAAACCCGGGCCTGGGTCTTTCTTTCAGACCACACGGAGCTCCTATGCCAACTCTCTGTGCTTCAACTCCTTTTTCATTTTTCCGCCATTTCTGACCGCCTACCGTGTGCTGGAGGCTATGCTGGCAAAAATAGAATAAGATGTTTCTTCTATATTCTTTCCGGCCCAAGACTTTTGCTGATCTCCTTTGAACCATCCTTTTACGTACACATTGTCCGATACACACCATACGGGGAGGTACTGGGGCTAATTTTACACCGACACGAGATACAGCCAGATCTAAGTCGACCTACCTATTAACTCAGTCAGTTTCTGTTCGGCGGTTTCTACTTTCTTATCTCCGAAGTGGTCGTCCGTGTTTTGTTAGTTAGTTGATTCTGTTTCTTTCGCCTACGTTTGTCGTCTCAGCGACTGTTTTAGTGTAGTTCGTATTTCTGGGCATTCTTCGTTGAGGGGTTCCTCCTCATTTTCCTATCATCAATAGATACGAATAAACAACAACGTTGAAAAGGACTTCTTGACCATTTCTTCTCTCCCTCCGGCGACGGACCATTCCTACGATCGCTGTTTCCGTCGCATTTGTAGACGTCGTTAACTCCGTGGACCCGTGGACGATGTCGCTCCCATTCGTTCCGTTCTGCTCCGTCGTGTCGTCGGTGTCGTTGTCGGCGCTGCAACAAGAATCGTTGCCGTCAACACAGGACTCGCTAGAACGGAAGCGCTTAGAACAACACCAGCGTATTTAGCACACAGTTCACTACTGACGGTAGCACCGCTGTTTAAGACCGCGGCCGAGTCAAAAAGTACGCGGGTCAACCAGTGAACTACCGACAATTCCTGACGACAAGAACGAAGCAAAAAAGAATGCACACCGACTTCTTTTCTCCTTCTCTATATTTCCTATAATATGTTGCACTCGATATGTTAGATTCGAGGTCGAAGTATCATCGGTTCGGCTGGCCTCATCGGACACAAAGATACTCCAACGTTTGTTCCAGTAGCGAGTTTAGGCTGGTGTCTACTTGAAATAGGGTATTATCGTTTCTGCCGTGTTATATTATTACGTATAGGTAGTTCAAGCCTGAAGTATCAGCTAGTTGCTAAAAGCCTACTTTCAGCAACGGGCCAAAATCGTTGTCATGCTGATCCGCAACGACGACAGGCAAATCGCGGCGTCGACGACGACGATAATATAAACGACGACAAGAAATTATAGCCGTTTCTTTCAGTCGACGAATTTGTCCGCCAACAATCTGCAAACCACACCGTCTAGAGCTGAGGAAAGCTGGCTCATGCATAGGCTGGAAACCATTGTCGCAACTTTAATATAGTGACAGTGCACTCATACTGGAACAGGACAACACAGATAACATGCGAGGCCCCGCATGAGAATCGAACCAACTGACGGCGGTGGTGGGGTGGTTTCGACACTACTTCGAACGAAAAAGCCGACTTCTCTCAGTCACACCTTCCATATGATGCCTCAACATTCTAACGCTGTTGTTACATGTTCCTCGGTCACACAAACTCCGTGTGTTATGTGTACGGTGGCGACATAAAAGTGGCGGATTTTGTTGTCGCCGGACAACATTGCAAGCGCACTGTTGCCTGTCGGGTGTTGATCGTCACTCAGTCACGTCGTTAACTTTACGTGTCGCCGCTCTTACCGTTACCGCAGCTAGTATTTGCGAAAAAAACGAATCGGCAAACAAGATCAGCTGTATGCCTCACTATTGCCCCTATTGCGTTCTCTCTCTACGGTACTATTATGCATATAATAGAAAACACTTTCGTAAGAGGAGCATACAACTTATGCTCGTGCACAGACACGCACTACGCTGTTGGAGAGTAGGAGACTACTTGGAGATCGGCAGCCCTGTCACTTGGATCTAGAACGAGCGGACCGCAGATCGAGGAGCGAGCAGGAAGCGTACAATAACGACGTATCGGCTCGACAATCACTCCTACGGCGACAACGACGGCCCTGTGTCGATGTCGCTCCCCTGCTGCTGCTGCTGCGGCGGCGGCGGCGGCGGCGGCGGCAGTGGCGGTGGCGGCGGCGGCGCGGCGGCGGCGCGGCGGCGGCGGTGCTACGGAGCTGTTGCTGATGGTGGGACCGTCCCGCTCATTTCAAAATATACATACTTCAGACGGCAGCAGTAGCCAGCGGCACGTCCGCCATGACGACGTTGGACTGAACGAATTCGGGCCAACATCGAAACAACTCGGGAGGCAGTTGTTTGTTTGGTTCGTGAAGCGGGCGCGCTGACGCGAATGAGAAGAGCTGCGGTAACGGTAGCGACCAATGCTGGCCAATAGCAGCAAAGTGATGGCGGGTCGATTTGAAAAATGAAATCGACCCGTAGCTAACATATTGCCTATTGTATAATTTGTCTACACAATGATTTTCGTGGTGAAATTTTCAGCTGTGGTGGGAGAGGAGACAAGTTAGCGGGCATGAGTGACATTTTTCACTTTTTATATAAATAAAACGTTATTTCTGTAAGCGATTGCCAAGTATGCTATCATGATAAAAGAATAAAGATCAACAAAATAATAACGAACAGTTTCTGTATCATCATTTTATCTAGAGCTGAAACGTGCCTACTTTGCAAATCGTGTACTAAACATGTAAAAAGTACTTGGTCATCTCTACATCAAAGTATAGAGAATAATATGTGTGACGATACCTTGAGGTCGCCTCAAAACTCAATTACTTTCTATTTTCTGAGTGGTATAAGGCTGTAAATAAAGTTCCTTTATTAAGAGTAAATTAAGCAAACATCTCAGATACTTGAAGTACGTTACAAGGCTATACCTAACTGACAAAAGGATAAAACCTAACAGTTAATTGTGTTCGATAAAACTGCAGTATCAACAACCGAGAAAAGATTTATCTACATTCCTTTTATTTTGCTTTATTAATTGCAATTGCGTGACGAGAATCCGCCGTAGACTTTTTATCGGCTAATGTTGTTCATATTATTTCACAATAATATCAGTGGTACTAAGTAGATATAGTAAATTTATCTGGTCATCCACAGGTTCTGTTATTGGTTAGAACAGTCTATACTGAAATTATTCAATCGCAATATCCCATTAACAGGTTATTAACGAATAGTAAAGCCTCAAAAAGGTCGTTATGTAATGTAAATGTAATGTGATACATACATGCAGAGACCAACATTAAATTGAAAGTGTTACAGCTAGTTATGTAGCACTGCGTCCCTTCACGACGACCGCGACAATTTTTTTGAAGTTTATCGGTGTACTCTGTACCCGTAGTCATAGAAAAAAAACTATTCAGTTTCGTCTGAGTTCATAAAAGTATGCGATTTTGCATTTTTTGGACTTTCCTAAAATCCTTTTGGAATTGCCCCCCGGAAGTCCCTTTAAAAATTTCAAGTCTCTGACAATTTCGTTGGAGAAGGGCGTTTAAGAATATAGTGGTTGAGCAATCCCAATGGACGAAGTTTGATTGTAACTTAATATCATCCATTGTTTTTCCGGTAAACACCTATTAGAGGTGCTTCTGTCAGTCTGTAATGCCACTAATTCCTGTATGGGCCGCTTGAGAAGCTGAGCGGTATCACTGAGTTCTTTAACATTTTTTTAAATTAACATTTTAAGTAAAATTAATAGCGATAAAGTTACATTTAATAAATAATAGCTGTTTATTAGAAGAAACAGCCCGCAGGACATTGATAGCAGTGATACGCACACGACTTGAACAAGTGAGAAGGTCTTTTTTTATATCAGAGTTGACTGTGGCATTCATTCCAATGGAGCTGTAACACAAATGCACTAATACGTTTCAAAGAAATTCATTAAACTCTTCTTAATTCTGTTCAGGACCGTGGGGCAGTTCTAGCCCTCTTGCAGTCTGGCTCAGGTGAATACTCGGTAATGGTTCGACAAAACGTCGTTTCACTTGAAATTCAATCATTAGTTTCATTCGTATTTAGTCTGCGTTTTCGTATCTTGACTCAGCATGCGTGTATTTTATTAGGTTTATAAATTAGTGATTAATTTAAGGAGAATGTATACATGAATGTGTTAACTAACATGATAGGGGATATATACAATAGTTGTTCTTTAGCCGATTTTCTGCGGTATAATGTCAGGGCGTTTCCTGGTTACACTGGTTTCGATGAAGGGGACTGATTCACTGGTATTGATTACGGACTGAGCTTACCGTTAACAGAGACAGCTGTCTTACTCGACTTTGTTTTTTAAAACGAAGAAAGAATAGAGTTTGGGGATATAGAATTTTTTTGTGCTGCGTTCATTTATTAATAAACAGCACCTTCATTGATTCGAATCATTGAATTCAAAATAATAACGTACCCCCGTCTAGTATTACCAAACTAAATTGATAGCCCGAACCTGGGTCACAAATGGCAACATATAGACAGGATGCTATTCATATCGGACAAATGAAAAAGACAATAAAGATTAACTAAGTGAAAGTAATTTCCGGTGTTTTTTAGCGTCTTTTTTGTATTTATTGAGCCGTTCCAGGCGAACGATCCTGCTTGTCTTGGGCCGGACCCGCTGAAACGGATGGAGCAAAATCTCGCTGTTTCATCAAAATACGGGTCGCAAATTCCATTGAATTTATTTCCACAAAACACATCCAGTGACAAAGCATTAGTTCTTGTGGAATCCATCACGAACTTTTATGCAAATAGCTAAATAGCTATCCACATGGACAAAACTAAAAAAAAGTCCAGATGCGACAATCATTTTGATATGCTGTAGTCCGTCTGCGTTAGGTCACATCTTTCAAATGACGAACATGGTACTCAGCAGGCATAGCAGAGCATAATCAACGCAAAACATTCTGATTAGCAAAATCCCCATGAGACCCGCACTCATTTTTCTAGGTGGCATCGCGGCCACCAGCGGACGGGCAATTTTCGAACTGGTTGCGCTAAAACTGCTATAGCCACTCGCAGCTTTCAAGTGCCCTTTCCGCTGCTTTCGAGAAAGGACCCGATTGCCCGCGCCTCGGCGAAGTGCATTAAACCCTATGGCCGCTGCTGCTGTTCTTGCTACCGCCGGCTTATATGGTTGGGGAGGCGTTGAATCGCTTTTAAAATCGTTCATGTGTGGTGCGAGCGCTGTGGTTGGCGATTGTTTCAAGTGAAGCCCACAGCGAGTGGGCGCTGAATCGTAATCCCTGTGCGACGAGGCTGTTAGTTGTTCAATGTCGTTTGTGTGGGAAAGCAGTAGTAGGAGATCGGTTTAATCCGCTTTCTCAGCTGTGTGTATTTTGTAAAGAAAAATGTGTATTGTAAGGTGGTAATGATCATGCTGCTGTCGCTGCTTGTCGATGTATTGTTTACAACGAAGCCGCTGTCGAACGCAGCCGTAGGCCAGCGGACGGCCCGTTCCGCTACTTCAGTTTTGCCAGGATCGTACCAAACTGACAAAGAGGCATTCTCATGTGACTTAGGAAGAACTTTCGAGTAGAATACGTTTTACATTATGTAAGATAAGGTGGAAGGGAAACAGATTCGTGTGCTCGAGATAACTCGTAAAGAACGCGTGCAGATCTGGTGAGATTGTGCCTTTCTGCGAATACAGCTTATCCTCGAGCTAGAACCATGTCCTAGCGGAGGTACAGGACGATTAGTACAGCCTCTAGAAAACAAAAGTCACGAAAGAGTAGAACGAGCATCGATTGTAAATAGGACAAATAGGTGGTGTATTTACAATAACGTTACATTTGAACGGTGGAAAATAATTGCGTATTTGCGTTCCGTATGGTAACGTTCGCCTTCAAGTTGCTTGCCAGCTGTGTTGGATTTTTTAGAGCTCAGTCGACGATTTTGGCAGGATTCACATTTTACGGGACCGCTACATGATTAGAGAGGAGTGAAAATCGGCGAATATCGCACACAATGATGCTTTTGCACTGAGTGTCCAGAAAAGGAAGAACTCCGAACGCGGCAAGAAGCTGTCGTGACCAGCCTTTTATCAACGTGCTAGTGTATTTGAATGTGTCTCCAGAACTGACGTAGGCAAGGAAGAGCATTAGTGTATGAACAAAAAATGGAGCATTTTATAAAGGGCGGAGCTGCTGCTTCGGGCGCGGCCCTTTTCACGAATCCGCTAGAAGTTGCCAAAACCCGAATTCAGTTACAAGGCGAATTGCAAGCTCGAGGCCAGTACCCTGTGCACTACAGAAACGTCTTTCACGCTTTATTCACGATTGGTGAGCGCCTTCTGAAGGAAGCTTCGCGTGTTAAAATCATTCTCTCTGTTCTACACAGCGTATGCTAGGGTGGTGAGCTAGACAAAGAATGATAGAGAAGTCATGAGACATTTATGCGTTTGACATGTTTGGCAAGTCTTATATAGCCACTCCTTATAATGAGCACCGAAACGAAGTAAATGTTACTACTTAGCCCATGATGTAACGATAGCCAAGGGAGTAACGTTCGCCTTGACTGCTGATGAAAGATACAGACACCATAGGTGATCAGAGTATTTTTTTTTTGTAATTTGAACATGCGAATGCATTTTCCCATGCCTTTTTTCATCATGAGGTTTTCCAAACAGACCCTGTGATTTGAAGAAATTTGACGTTGTAAAAAGCGTGTCATAAAGAATTCGAAATTAAGCTATATAGATGTCATTTGTTTTAAATTAAAGCGTAACAGTGAACCACATGGACGTTTATTTCACGCACCTTGGGAAATACTTATCAGTTAGTATTCAGATCTGGGACCTTGCGCGTAACAAAGGTTACTCATAAACTTCGGGCAGTATTTCTTCTGCTGATTTAATACCACAGTAATCTAAAAGGTTTTAGGTGTTAGCTAATCGATAATATCTTCAATACATCATATTGTACGTTACTCAATATATTTCTTAGAATATGTATTCAGCATATTCCTTACCGGAGTGCCGAATCAGTACAACAGATCCATAGTTATTTAAATATAAAGAATGTTTATACAAAGCAGAGGAATCTGAAAGTATCTGATTAATCAGACTATTTATAAATGACAGGTTTCGCAGAGTTGATGATGGGTATGAGGTAAAATATTCAAAGATCGTTCTGCAATTCGAAACTATGATGATATATACCTTACACAGTGGCACGTGATTTATGAGATGGAACGACCAAAGTTGAATAGCTAAAATAACCTATATAGAGCTAATAGCAGCATGATAGCTAGTAAACCGAAGCAGATTCTAAGCATTAGAAATATTCTCAGCGTAATAAAAGCGACATATGTTGTCGTCTATGTTGAATGCCATTGAGTGTTTCGTCATCTGACATGCCAATGGTGGTTTATCGGTAACTTACTCTTCGCAATAATGGCGCCAATGAGGTGATCGGGTTGCAATATTATTTGAAAGGCTTATAACATAGTAAATACTGGTACTTAGTTTTTGTGCTCACTTTATTTATCTAACAGTAATATAAACACCGACCCAACAAGGAGACATTCTAGTGATACGTCTGCATCATATGTGATTGCTTTTATTCGTTTCCATAGCGCGACATGATGGTATTCGGGCTGTACAAAGTGGACTCGGGCCCGCACTCTGCTATCAGTTTTGTCAAAATGGTTTCCGTCTAGGCGTCTTCAGCATACTCGAGGATCTCGATTTGACGAAAAACGGCGACGGGACGGTCAGCCTCCCGCGAAGTGTTCTCGCTGGGGCAGTTGCGGGAAGCGGAGGCGCTTTCTTTGCCAGTCCTTTGTACATGGTAGGTGTTGCGACTCTGCGTAGTAGTGAATTGTCATTATATACCGACAATTTGGCCAAAAGCAGCTCACTTCGTCGTTTTCTCAAATCTGAAAAAAAGGCTGTATAATGGAATAATGGTATAAGTATTTTTGCTTTTGCTAGAACTATTAGTGGACCTGAACCGAAATTTTTAGCTATGTTAGCGAATTTGCCTTTGCGGTAGCAGCATAAATCAAATGTAATGAAGTTATTTTCCGGGAAAATGATGAACTTGCATGCGTTTGCTGACTTCTGGCCACACCGGGTCGTGCATTGTCAATATATTTTGCCCGCGGACATCAGTAGGGCTGAGATATATGCTTGAAAGTTGGCCAAGGTCCTTCCACAGAGAAAACTATTTTTAGCCTCTTCTTTGAGTTTACGACTTATTATTGTCTTACTTTATTTTCAAAAAAGTTATATTGTTTTGTTAAGTTATATTGTATATATAAAATAAATTGATATTGCAAAAAATATGTTCAACAAATATGTTCCGGCTAGCAGAGAATGATCCATACAAAACTTATAAACCAATAGAAATATAATTAAATGTAGTTCCATGAGTATTTATGTACTTTGGGTGCTTGCATTATTGTACTTTCGGTAGCAAAAAGAGCTGCTCGTCGTCTTTGGTTTAGCCAGTGGAAGTATCCTATGTTAGCACTGTTTAATGTAATGCGTTTAGTTTACCTAAAGAACATATTGCATATAAATGGTCTCCAAGAGATCTTATTAGAATATTTGAAAATCACATACAATTAAGATCAGTAAGGATACGAACAATGCTGATCCAAAGGCTAGATATTCAGCGATGCTATTTCAGATATCGCGAAATCTTAATGCTCGGCAAAGCATCCTTTGATCAACAACTATAAGTCTATTCCAAGCAGTCGTGGAAGCCTAACAAAACGTTCACAGAGTAAATCCATGAGCCAGATCAATAAATGCTTATTATGATTATAATATAATTATAATTAAGAGGCTTTCCTTCCCACCGTAACAGAGCTACTCTCACAAGAATACGCTCGCACGAGCCTGATTTTGCATAGGACTGATACGTGGTCTGACGTGATCTATTCTTCGAACAGTAGAAAACTAGCTCATAGGTAAATATGTCTTCAGCATAGATGATAGGAGGTGTAATTTGCCACTACTATCAAAATAGCTCGGTACTGCTTAATTGAGGCTTTCTGACTAAGGACAAGTCCTTGAACTTGGGAACAGTTGTTGTTAGAAACAAGTATCTCCAAGGTATGCCTAGCGAACTTATACAACTACTACTTTGCAACGCATTGTTTTACTGATTCCAAGTTTAGTTAAGACAGATAGCTTCAATATTACTCAATAATCACACATTGCCGTGTACGTATGGTGCAAGTCAAAACTTTTTCAGATTCAAAGTTATTAAACCATTCTTATCTCTAGCTTTTATTATCGTCCCGATATGCCATTGTTTGTCTCTTTCGTTTTGACCAGCTCTGACGATTGTACTTCCTTTGTAGACAAATCGGAAACGTAGACTTATCGAGCTAATACGCAGATAATAATCTACTATATATCTATTATAATCTATTATAATAATAATCTATTATAAAAAATCATTCGATTTTTTATAATAGAACGAACAAACGCCTACGTAACAGGAATGTCTGTTCAGTCAGTGTCTTGGCAGTTTCGCTTTCGCTCTTATCGAGAATAGTCATTGTATCAAGTAGCGGCGCGGGCTGAGCAGGCGAGCGGGCGGACGGGCGACCGCAAATGGTGCAACGCGCGCCTTCCCTTTATTTCTATTTGCCTGATTTCTTAAGTTTCTGTAAGCGCCATATGCAAGCCACGACGGCCACACCAAGAATGTGTTCTGTTGGTGTTCCGTAAGAGCCGATATCATAATATATTTGCTCTTTTGTTAGGAACGATATCAGTGTGTGGAGCAGTGACGTCCCAGCTCTTTGAGTTGGCGATCGTCGCGAAGCCACCATTGCTACTGATACTATTGGCATTCGATGGCAATGAATAAAGAAGTAACTGCGTATCGTAAGTGCAAACGTCTTTTTTTCATTGGAAAACGTTTTTCTTAGTACAGTAACGAGTATTGTAGTAACTTCGATTAGTTATTTGGTCAGTGATTTTTTATCCACGAAACGGAAAGACATCTGGAATTATATTACGTATAGTTCAGTCATTATAGGATCAATGAGAAAAGTCACTTGTTATTGTTGTTATCGTTGTTGTACTATAGTTGGACATTTTTATTAGATTAATTTTCATCTTCCTTTGAAGGTTAGGATATTATTAATTATATATATATATATATATATATATATATATATATATATATATTAATAATTAAAGTTATCGAGGGTTCAACAATTATTGAAACGCCATTATTTTTAATTTCAGAAATCTAATAGCACTTTACATTAACATTAAACAAGTACAGGACATCTTATGTCTTCTTTATTTCACATTCTTTATTTCACATTTTTTATTTCATTTCGGCCACTGCGTTAACTCATAGAATCAGCCCTGAAAGCGTACTAAAGTTTTTTTTACAACCATCATTTACGAAGTATTCTACAACTAAATATTTCACGCTTTCCCATTAATAACGATGAAAGCGAAGCCAAATCATCTATCTGGCATCACTGAAAGATAATTTACCCTTTAGTGGTTTCACATAGGTGATTATCTTTTCACTTTTATTTTCGTTCATATATGACGAAAGCACTGCCGTTCTAATGAATAAATATTAATAATGGCAATGAAAGTAGGTTTTATCTGCTTCTTATTTTGTATAATTTACTTCAATACCAACGCTCAATGGTATAACCATAATTTAGTACATATTTGCTGAATATTGTTCAGTTTGAAGGTTTAGCTATTCTGTGATTTATTGCGCACTGGTGTATTTCCACAACTGTTGACTAATTACTGGGACTTGTATATGATTGATGCCAATTGTATCGCTCGACAGCTGGTCTGATATGACGCCAGGAATTACGTAGCTGCCAGTAAACAAACAGGTCTACTTTCCCAATGCAACCTTACAGCCTATGAAGCTTGGCGTTCCCCTCATCAGACTATACTATCGGCTAATAGATATCCAACTAATAACAAGAATACGTATTACAACATGTCTCCATAAGATTTTATGTTCATGTATCCTAGATGAAGGACTGTCCCAAATGTTGTATCTAATACTATATTAGTGAATGAGATACTATTTCATAAGTGCAGACCAAGAAGCTTCTGGCGCCCAAATCTGACGCTCGCAACCAATAGTCGCCGTTGTTGAGATAATTTTTAGTCAATCGTCTTTAAACAAGAAGCAAAGTCACTTTTTACGAAGATCAGCTGACACTGCGCAGCTGTACATGCAAACGACATAACCTATCTGCAGTCTAGATTAGTATCACCTAATTTGGTCAGACGTTCTGGTACAAATCCTGTAGTCAATGGCCTGTATGTCTCGGAAGGGAATCTGAGCTATGTAAAAGATAGACCTAAACCCTAGCATTTATCGCTGTCTTATTGGACTCGGGCATAATATCCGACCTGAATCGTAATCACAAACGATGTAAGTTTTACTGTGCCTAGTAACATAATTAGGAGTACAGTACATATGGTTGTAAAAAACTACCCGACCCGACGGGCGAGGGGGGAACGAGGCTTCAGATTGCACAAACGGGTACGCGCTTAAATTAAATCTTTTAGAGATCTATGTTGACAAAGGCTGAATTTTAAATACGCTTGCATGAAACGGTTTGGGACATAAAAAAAAAATATACAAGAAATAATCATGTGGTTATATGGGTATATGAAATCCTTTTTGTAGCTTATTTATGACACGTGCGGTCTTAAAACTTCTACCATACTATATTTCCTATACGTGCACTAGCAGTAATTTCGTGGACAAAAATATATCCACTGGATTATTGGAATTGTTCTTCACTGTAATAATTACAATCTAGTATACATCCTCACGCCTCTTCTCTGATCAAAGTCAACAACCTTCATCACACATTGGTTATCAGTACCTTTCCAAACGTTTACTCCAGTATCTCTATTTTGTCTGTGCTTAGCCATAAACTGCGTTCGCATCTCATGAACAACAGCACCGGAAAAACAGCGCAGAATGAACAGCAAATAATCGTCGCTACTATCAGGCCTGACGTACCCGTAGTCTTTACCTTTAAATGGAAGATTCTGCGTTACGTCGCGCTGCCGAAGGGATATGGTTGTAAAGACGCGAGAATGTTGGATTGTCAACAAGACGATGTCTAGCGGTGTTCTGAAAAATATAGGAACAAACAAAAATTTGGATTCCAAACATTATTTCTCTTTTTCTCTTATACTCTTATAAGCAATTAGCATAAGTTAATTTCGGCGAGTCCTCATTGTATCCATCATCAACACAATGATTAAATAATTGAGTAGGTAATATCTGAATAAAGCAATGTGCACTTTGTCATTTAGTCTCACACGTTGCCAGACCCTTGCTTATCCTGTATGGGGAATTACTACTCCGTTGACTAGAGCCTATGAGACGGTAGCCTGAAACAATCACACAGAAACGAGTTCCCAAAACACTATACATTGTAAGATATCTCGTCACTGACAGCATTTATCACTGACCTATCGTGTGACGCGTAATGATACGAGTTCGCAGTCTTACACAGATTAGATTATGAAAGGGTTAGGTCCCAAAGATTAGGCATGGTCCTATGAATTATGCCGTTATTCTGGTTTATAGTACATGTCAGGGGACGGCGCACAATGTGATGATGCAAAGGTGTCTTGTTGGCATCCGTTTGGATGGCGTAGAACATGAAATTATCTCGAGATGACTAGCGAAACTGACAATATGCTCTTGAAGTGCGTAAGCTAAAAAGTTTCCCTCGTTATTATGACGCGTAGCGTGAACAAAAGTTATGATCACAAAATGTAGTGTATACCTATGTTATGTCTGTATGCAAAGTCATAGTAACATTCTCATCCTTGCCGCCTATTTTCTCATTATATATAATACGACCCTTTTTTTGAAGATAGAAGAAGAAATATAGAAATGCGCAAGTGTCTTCTCAATGATTACGTTTAGCATTTTGTCTTGTGCATTTATTGTAATGATTATAGATTAAAACTCAGCTTCAAGCGAAATCAACTAATGCGCTTATCGCAGTCGGTTACCAGCATAGACACGGTGGAATTGTCACTGCGTTATCAAAGGTGTGGGTCGCTGCCGGATTAAAAGGTAACACGCTTCGCTATTCATAACAACTTCAGGTAACATTTCATTGCAATTTAATCTGAAAAGTTACAGCAAAGACGAAATAGCAGTTCAATGAGTATAGGGAAGTCGGGGAGAATAATGTAGCTTCCGTTTGGATGTTTTTGTAAAGGGCTATGTGTTATTTTTGCAGGTCTATGGCGTGGTGCTGGTGCAGCGACTATTCGCGTTAGTACCGGAAGTTCTGTCCAGCTGGGCACCTTCAGCAAAGTTAAAAGCGTTCTTGTACAATACCTTCCGGTAAGTTCCATTCGAAAAAAGGCATATTTATGGACAGTTGTCTGTTCTGTACCTATAATACTATTCTATGCGTAATATATTTGAAAAAGTGTTAATTGTTATTAGTTCTGCAAATATTCTCTTCAATAATCATTAAACCATGATCCCGTATTGAGTATATACATCTTACCTCTTTCAACATGCACAAGACCGCTATATTTACCTCGAGTTACCGAGAAGTAGAGCCATTTTCTTGTAGTATAATATCCTTTGCCCACAAAATGTATTTTGAGCTTGGATTGAAAAAAATTCACTAATAGCTTGGTGTTATAAATAAAATGCAATGCACATTTTCAGAGATAGCTGTATCATGTAGGCATTTTCCGGTTTGAATAATAACAACAATAAACTATTTAAGTTCTATTTGTCAAAAGGTTTAATTATCTTTATTTAATTCTCGTTCTTATTGGCTACAGTCGATGCAAGAGCGGACAACGCTGTGCACTTTCCTCTCATCTTTGCTAAGCGGGACAGTAGTTTGCATTATTATGACTCCATTCGACGTCGTGTGTACTAGACTGTACAACCAAGGCGTCAACCCACAAACTCGCAAAGGTAAAACTTGCGGCCGACACTTATGATTAAGTAAATATCAAAATAATCAAGATAAATTATTATTATTTAATCACATGTGAACACTGCATTGGAATTACAGAAATACGCGATTTGCCATTAGTCTGATTTTTTAGAATATACTAACTGCTTACGGTTTACGACTACCCGGTTTTTTTAAACTCTACGTAAATTTGTGTTCGTTTTTAGGCCTATACTATAACGGTTTCTTGGATTGTTTCGCCAAAATTCTTCGTTCTGAAGGCCCACTGGGATTCTACAAGGGCATATCTGCTGCGTTCTTGCGATGTGGCCCCCACACCATCTTGACCCTGATGCTTTGGCAAACCCTTCGCGATATAAATGTGCCGCCCCCTTCGACCGTAATTAGTCTGTCCCCTCCAGCAAAACTAGCCGGCTAAATAAAATTCTTATTCTAGTATTTCACTACTTTACCATATGTATGTTAGGCTGTCGAAGAGCTTAGCTTTTAAGTTAAATATGAGTTGCGAAAATTGAGAAGACTGACATGTTAGTAGCCATGATCTAGCCAAAGAACTAAGCGGTTAAGAAAGCTAGTTACAGAAAAAGCTCGATGTTTGGATGGCACACGAATCGACACAAGGAAGCTTACTCGATCTGTGAAGCTTCACAGAAATGCAACAAAATGGGGTCATTTCTAAAGAGACTGATGACGAGCGATGTGAAGTCAATCACATACGACCATGTGCAGAAGATGCTATGTGTATTTGATGGGATTGAAAAGGTGTTGTGACTTACGAGTTGGCGCCGCCTCACGAGACGATTGATTAGGGCGCTTATTGTTAACAACTAGGAACGTTACAATAAGCCATTGGAAAGAATCGAACGGAAATGATGAACATAAAAAGCGTTGTCTTCTACCATGACACTGTCAGACCGCATGCATCTTTAATTGCCCAGCAAAAATTGAGGTAACTTAGATCGAAAATCTTAATGCATCTGCGGCAGAAGCCGGACTTCGCACCGGTGGAGTATCATCTGTTTCAATCTCCGTGGAGTTGTTTCAATGGTGTGAATTTCGTTTCAATGAAGGGCTGAAAAAATCACTCGTCAGACGTCTTATCGCCCAATGACCATAGAAATTTTACGGTATTAGGATTTTGGCATCACCAGAAAATCGTAGAATATCGTCGACCAAAATGGTGCATATTTAGTGTAGTAATATTATTTTAAAACGTAAAATTGTTTGCTTTCATTACAGCGCATAATAGTTGAATTGTCTTAGTAATAGTTGAACTTATCGCATAAACACAAAAAAAATTTTAATCTGCATCTATATGCAGGTTTGGTATTTTTGTTTTGGGTCTCCGCGCATTCGCAGAAGAGATAAAGAAAGGAGGCTTTTCAGTGAAAAAGGCACGACCGCGCGTAGAGGATGAAGGCAAGCGGTGGTTTATAGCGGAAGAGCGATATAAAAACTGCCGCTCAAAAATTATTCTTCGTCAATATCAACATCGATTTTGTACTCTCTGGTCCGTAGATGACAGGGACGATCCATAAGGGCGGCTTTATAATACACACTAATCGACAATGATGATTATCAATTAATTATTAGTATTCTAATGACAGTTATTCATGCATGATAGTCTACTCTTCCCTGTACTAGGTGAACTGTACACGTGAACGGATCAATAGACTGTGATCAATCGTTAAATGACCAAGGTAAACTGTACATAAAGGGGTGGAGAAGAATTCATTTAGTAATGCGTATTTCTAGATAGTAAAAGAAACTGTGTAATAATCATAGCTTGCGTAATTATAAAAATTAAATGAAAAATAATGGAAGGGTGAACGGAGGTAATGTTGAAAGGCCTAAATTAGACCTTAACACCTACGGATATTTCACTAATAATACACAAGCTAGCATTGAGTTGGATGTGATCGGAAATCCGTGAAGCTTGTAGAAAATAATTATTCATTTAAGAAGTCTTATTAAACGTTTCCTGTTGCCGGCATAAACGGTTGTCAGTTAAAGAAATTGCTTTAGTTTTTAATAGCTTAACTCTTCAATGCCTAATTAAATCATTATTATTTCTTTGTTAGAACAGTACACCCTTCTGAAAAAAGGGCGATTTCAGCTGTACGTCAAATACATTGCTATTTTTTTCCTTGTAATAATGATTTGTAAGAAAAACACAAAGGTAATGTTCTTCTTATTTAAAGAACACTTAACTAAAAATCTTTATTCTTTAAACATACAGGTCAATAACATGTACATAGTATATATAGTGATGCGGGAAATATAGAAATAAAGAAAAAATGTTTTTAACTAATCCTAGATTATTTGTTCCTAGGAGTCAGTTTGTCATGAACTGTTTCTCTGTTTGTGGTTGCTAAACATAGCATGTGATCTAAAAAGGAAGGAAATAGATCGCTTATTAAGACGGCAATACTGTGGTTTCTTTCCTCATTCCTAACATCTGTGCAGGAAAAATGCACTCGGAGGAGGTACTGCTTCATTGTCCCATCAAGCATCCGACAGGCTTGTTTGTTGTGAAGTGATACGTACATTGATATTTGACAAATGATGATTTGACAAATAGATCAGCTGGGTACGACCTATTTGATAGATAATCGTGTGTGATAATAAACTGCCTTACTGAACAAAAAATATTCTACTATTGTCACTTAAAACAGGGATTTAGCCAAGCAATGAAATCAAGAGCCAGTTATTCAGATTTCCTATTTAGGGACATATGTCGCGATTTCAGTTTGCCGATACGTGTCCCATTTCAGTGTTCTTCTAGGGATAAGGGCTGCATGTTATTTGCTGCCTTGAACCCGACAAAAAGGATTCAGCCTACTGTGATGTAATACTGCCGGGTCCTTCCTCTGCACTCTGAGCGCTGTAACATCAACTCAGTCAGCTAGATAAGCTTTAAATTCCTCGAATCTACCTATTACCTGGATATGCATCTCAAAAAATATTTGAAGGCTTACAAATGGACCGAACTTTATGACATCTGCTTCCCAGTTTTGTGGACTAACCTTGTATTCTTTGCATCTTTATCGTCGTTGCGCGACTTCAATGTCCATGAAATATAAATAGTAATAATTAAGAAAGAAAAAATTATTTGGTAATAAGCGAAGGAAGGGGTGTATGATCACGGACGCACTATGAGCCATAGAGCCCAGACTAATATAGGGTCTTAAGTAGAAATAAAGCCATATTTTTTAGAAAGAGAAGTAATTATTTTCTGTCGTTATTCACGAACAAGTTTCGTTCAGTTTCTTGAGTATTACTTGCACATTGTGATTCACATTTATATCGGCAGTCAAACTATGGTACCAGTTTGCCGAATATATAATAGATCATATGACAAACGGCAATGCTTGTCATTGCTTTTATCAGTAAGTCACTGCTTTAGAGTTTTTGTTTCGAATAATAACACTTTTCGATGACTTCTTTTTATAACGTAAATCGGGCGTAATTGTTAAAGTTTTACGTTGAACATATTCGTAGTTTGCTCTGATTATCAAAAAATGAATAAGTCGAATTCATGCAGGTTTGACGGACAAGTATCCTTAACTATGTATCCTTTTTTTTAAATTCTTCTTTCTTCTTTTTGAAATTAAGATGCTTAATCTTTCTACCATAGCCTCAGCGAATGCATCGACTATTTGCGGATGCTTTGAAAGTACTTAAAATCGAAAATGTTGCTTTGAGGTTTTCCCAAAAGAACACAAAAATGTTTTGAGAAACGCAGCTCGCTGGTTCTGCAACGCACGATGCCCTCGTAAATTATGGGTCTCGGAACAACAACTGTTGCATAAAAACCCATCGACTTAAATTCGAGAATCGATAAGTCGGTGCATCCATCCTTAATACTAAAGGTCGAATCAGTCCAACGTAAAACGTCCTTTTAGAGCTTACGAATGAGTCTGAGAGAGTATATCATAAGCATAGAGAATTTTGGAGAATTTAACCCTGAAATAATAGGGCGCGAAAGATGGAGACAACCGGCAAATACTTTTGCCTCTAGGGGAAAAGTATTTTTCCAATCGGCAGCGACGCTGAGCAATGCGAACTTCCTGCCTGTGTGCCCGAATTGTGTCACGGAAAAATTTTGTTGAAGAACATTTCTCCGACTGCAACTTGAACCCCATAAAAGTGTCGACTCTTAATTGAGAAATATGTCATGTTATCTGTGATGAGAATCAACTATTAGAACAGGCCAATGAGATACCTATTTGTCCCTGCAAAACTCTTGCAAGGCTCCAAAGAAAGTGGGAGAGCACAGCGAAATGAATAGCTTTAGTTAAAGTGGATAAGCAGGGTTTATGTTATAGAGTACCGAAGTTAGTCACGTTCCACCGAGACAGTGGGACGTAAGATGATGATAGTACTTGCAACGAACACCATATACAGGTCAAAATGAACGCAGCCCGTTGCCTCGAGCTCCTCATGAGACTCACGGACAGTTGGCACAGAAATCGAAGGCACGCGGCTTGGCGACTTAATGGCAAAGCATGAGCTATCACTATTCCTTAATTACCTCCTGAATCGAACAGAAAAATATCTAAGGTTGGCTTCAACCTGCTTATTCTCCCGATCTCAGACCATGTGGATACAGGGCTTTCCTTGCCCTAGCAAAAGAAAGTGGTAGAGAAGCGTGTGCCACTATCAATTTGCCTCGAGAAGCCATAGATAGAAAAGTAAATAAATATGAAAACACAAGTGATAGCTAAATAGCTGTGCAGCAACTGCAGGGAACGCTGCACAATGTGTGTAAAAAAAATGACATTAGGGAACTATTAGGAAACTATCATTCGAGTCCATAGTAAATGGATGAGACCGTTTGTTCGGAGCGATGGGAACCGCTGGAAGAAATCTCTTTTGATGACGCGATATAGGTGCTTGCATGTTCGATCCTTATTTCTACCATATAAACTGGTAAACTTCATCAACACAGAGCATTTAACAAACAAGTGAGTTGCTCTTATAATAATCTCTTAGAATGTTATCTGTTTCCATGCTATTATAGTTCACGCTCGTAATAATGTTTTTACTTTATAAGAATGCTTAATTTGGCAAAGTACATGTAAGTATTTGTATTTTAAGTGCGAAATTTCATATCATAAATTTTAATATACAAGCTAATTGTAATGTTCTAGGTATTTTTTCTAGCTACTTGCCTATACCATCTTGTAGCTAGAAGCTCTTAGTGCTCTAAGAACTTATAAGCACAAATTTCTAATGTTATATACGTATTAGCCACGTTGGTTTCACTTTTAGTGTTTAACTATGCTGTTTTTTCTGCCAATGGACTATTTTCATGGTCCTTATCTCTAACTGTTTTCGCCTTTTTAGAATCCGGTTGTGTGGCTTCTAAAAAGGAGGTACCTCTTCATGAGGAACGCTCCAGATAACGTTCTCGTAAATGTTACGTATTAACTTTTTGGCTATAATCTACTATATCCAAAAGAGAACTCCTTGATTGTATTCGGATGTTGCTGAGGCAGGAAACCTGTTTTTTAGTTGATCTTTCCTAGCAGAAGAGCCCGTATCTGTCGTTTGCCTGAAATTTACCCTGTTCGTGTTATATAAACGCAAAATATATGTTGAGGCAATTGTGACACATATATATTATGTGAAGAGGAGGAACATATTCCAAAAATCTTCGCGTTTGTAAGAACACAAGAGTGTATATCCTGTTTAGTTGATATCCTTACTGCAATTCATTCATTTTCACTTTCCGCTTAAACTTTAAATTAGGGCTGACGTTTTCAAGGCAGCATCTCCTGCTACACATGCCAGTTCTGGCGATAAGTGTACTTCGTATTTCGCTGACATTATTTCCGTTTTGGAGACTGTTTTAGCAATGTGCTATTTATATTTTGTTCTAGGTTGTTACCTGTATACCTACAGTTTGTTAAATAGGATTATTCATGACTAACACAGACATGCCTGATATGGACCTACGTTTCTGTGAGTCCAACTTCTTGTAGGTTCCAATTAGAGTCATAACAAAAGCGTCAGGGGCAATGGCAGAAATGAACTGCAATATCTTGTCACTCAGTATCTGTCTGTTGCATTCCTGCTAGTCGGTAAGGAACTAGGTAGCCAGATAGAGCATTTTGCGCCTCTTTTTTGCTCTCACGCTATGGTAAAATAGCTAAGATGAGTTCACAGTCTAACACTGATATACATTTAAACCACCAAATTATTTCGATAGTCATAACGAGTAATCTCGTCGTGTACTTTCTATTTAATTGCAATCAAATAATATATTTAATGTTTTAAGGTATCAGGCACACTGTAATTTGGCATCATTAGGCTTTATTATATCGTATAGTTGAGCGTTAGAATGTATCAGTTTAGAGTATGCACCTACACGGCCGTCGCTGCTGCAGTGTTTGTTGATTCAAAACATGAAAGACGTGGCCAGTCATGATATGAGTCAAGGATTTTTACGGCAACGAGACATTTTACGGCGTGAGCAATTCTACCAACATGATCTATGAAATTCTAACACTCTGTTATGTTTACAGATATGTATAAAATGCGCACTGGCATAGTAAACAGTAGTCGATTCAAACGAAATGTAGCTTTGCTATATTTTTTTGTGCAACGTGATAATAAATTTTTTCACAGCAAGCAAGAACCTTATAACAGAGAGGTTAGTTGACATGAGCAGGAATGTCTATGGTCTGATGAGAACTGATTTCGAATGTCTGACCAATAATCGGCGCAATGATATTCTCGCTGGCCATGACAATCCAAAACCTGTTTTTGTTCAAGTTGTTACTTGAATGAAGGATGTAATTTGTTATCGCTACTTCTAATGTCCTTTTTTTCATTCTGTAACGTTGGACTGATTCGAAAACGGACCTTTCTGAAACCCCGATGAACGCCCCGGTTGGTATACTGCATATAAGCCGTTTTAGCGAATGAGCAGATTCTAGAATTTTTTATTTGAATTTCAATGGATATTGGCGTCCATACTTGATATAATTAATTGCTAGCATACTGCAGTTACTGGTCACTTATACCGTACAATTCAAACAATAGCTGCTTTTATATAGAACAGATGAAACAGTAGCTCATTCATTTGAAGATTAAGATCTCATCAATGTCACATATTTCACCTTTTGACCTTACTAAATACTGGATAAATCGGGAGTTCATCATCAAAGACATCGTCAATTCGTGTTAATAATTGATGATTAGCGGTAATTATAGTAGATGGTTGAATGAGTAACGGTAACGGTTTTCCTTTACTTTTGTTCTTGTTGAATTTTTCGCTTGTGGTTGGTCAAGGGTCACATACCGTTAGAAACCAGTTCTTTGGCGATACGCAAATATGATGGCAACAGCCAGCAAAAAAAAGCTTCTACGCGAAACTAATTAACATTTTTCAATAGTATATATGATGTTCGATCGTTAACAGATGAAAGATTCGAGAGAAAAGAATATAAAAAAAGGACAGTTATTTGTTTGACCCTGAAATGTTTAGGTTGCTGATAGGAAAGGCTATTTAGTTGCATGAACAGATTTACAAATGCACAATTTTTGCTACCCTGCTCTAGATATCAGATATCGGACTCAGTCGGTGTCGCTAACAGTAGGCTGAGCCAATTTTGCTGAATAAATCATTGATCACTTTAGCCGGTTTCAGTTACTTCTCTGCAAAGGACCGGCTTTTGATAGGTGTTCCTAGCATCCAATAAGCCTAAGCTTCTCGAAAGATGGAAGGCTAGCGATCCTGTAGGAGCTTTCGTGGTCCGCACTATATGAAATTCGAAAGGTATGTTTCGTTTAGGAGTATTTCTACAAAAGCTAAAAATTCAGCTATTAATGAGGCCAGATTGCAGCTAGTTAGCCAACCGTAGTATTTAAAAAATAAATTTATTAGTGCTAGGAGTAATCAGTACTAAAATGAACTGTCATTGAATATTATTAAGGTATTTTTAAACGGGTTGATATGTAGAATACATGTTAAAAATAATCACGTGATAAAAAAATATAATGAAGCTATGTAGCCATAATAAATTGCTTAATCTACATAAGAATAGTAAAAAAGAAAAGGGCATTTAGATGTTAAATAGCGTGCTAAAAAACTACTTCACCATAGTTTCCAAACTTGTAGCTTATCAGCTAAACCGTTATTCGACTAGAATTATATTATTGTAGATATCTTATCCTTCGAACAGCTTCATGTAGAGTGCAAAAAATAATTAAAAATATTTTATTTGTTTCAATCTCTAGTCAGCATTCCAAAATTTTGAGCTGAGACAAAACCAGTACACTCAGAAATATTGATACATCCCAGTTTTCGGTACTGTTATTCCAGACAGCTTTAAGCAGTTCAAAACGTTAGCTGCATCTTTCAGCTGCTGTCCAATTACTATCATTTCGCCCTCAAGCCTGATTAATATCCACTTCGATTGTCTCTCACCTACTAACACGGTCAAATTTGCCCGCCATCAACAGACAGCACCAACAGTCGCTCTTTATCCGCGCCCTGAATCCGTACGCGCTATCAGCGATTAGTCCCCCACGAGCTCTGCTTTTAGTCGAGCTGTGCTGTGTGCTAGAACGCTTCGACGAGCGGACACGTGCTGTACGCTGTTTCGCTCTGTGTGTGAAATTGCCGTTGCGTGAAACGTCGTTGGGTCGGTTTTGGTGTGGCGCGAGACGGTCCCAATTACCCCTGCAATTGTATCGTACGAAAGAGTTCAGTGGATTTCGGCCAACCGCATAGTGGAGATGACTGAGAAACGGGTTGACGCCGTTGGCAAAGGCCAATCAGCGCACGTCGATGCCCGTCAACCGCCTGCGGAAACCGTGACCCCCAAAGGTGAGACCCGAACGACTCTTTGCGCGGATCCCGAGAACAGGAAGGCCAATAGATCTTTTATGGTGGATGAGTAACGTAAGTATTTACGTTTAGCTCAGACTAAACGACCTGTGTGATATCGTCCTGCGTTGACTTTGGCTGTCGCCGGCATAGCGAGCTGTTTTATCTCTTTGGAGTATTCTGTTCCTGGTTAAACATTGGCAGCAGGGTACGACGACTTTAGGCAAGCGAAAAAATGCTGGACTGTTGATTATATCATGAATGCTTCTGTTGTCGCTGGTGTTGTGAAAATATTTAAGAGTTTCAAGTGGCTTGTAAAGTGATAAACGTTCGTCTGGTTAACCTTCCATTGTTCAGTATTTGATGCTATTCTAAGCTGTGCCTAAGAACAGCTCATTTGCTAGTGCCTCGCCGATAGCTCGCGCACCGTATTAAGCCTTAGAGAAGACGTAACGACTCGCACCGAAGCCAACCATTAAATAGCTTCGTGCAAACAATTACTTGTACTACTGTTATCAAAATTAATCGTGAAGCTTTTACCCAAATCGCATAGATTGCCGACGCCAAAACTGTTTGTGTTACATCTCTAGAAAACTTAACTACGGCGCGGTTCAACTTTTATTTTTCTACTAACTATGTATCATATTACACTTATATATTACGGCCGTCATAGTAAAGATTTTTAATTTGCCACTACCATTTTGTCATCATTATTAGTAATAGTGTTGATTTCTAAAATTATTAACGAGCTATGTATGTAGGGGCAGTTAGTAAGTACGCAACGTTGTTTTATGAACGCTCCTTCTGCTATCTGGTAATCTGAGAAGTCCAAAGACATGCGTTTTTTTCACAGTGTCTTCGTGAGTTATTTGATTTTTTGATTAAAACCTTCAGCTACAGCAACAAACACCATGAAGAATGTTTATCACGAGAATTTGAGTTCCACTATTTGTCGGTTTGTTTTCATTATAGGTCGAACCATAGCGAGTTGTTCCGTAGCTTTGTGCGCGCATTAATTTATGCGGTTTTGTGTGCACACACTCATGAATATGCTGCTGGCTTCGAAACAGAGTGAAGTAGATGAATGTCGGTTTTTGCTAATGCCACTCAATTGCTTGAAACTTCCTTGATCTCACGTGTGCCTGCGTCGTGCTCCTCTGTTCACGATGATTAGTTGGGCAATCTTTATCCATCACACGATAACGGTGACTCGCGATAGAACTCTACGATAGTTGACGGATGTGGACGCCGGTAGATCTCGTATATTCGATGGGTTTGACGAGATGTTGAAAATGGTCTCGGATCGGCAAATAGTTATGGAAATCGTCTGTCAGAACTGTATTGCATGTCTGAAGTGCAAAGAAAATCTTATGGTCGAAGCATTGTGGAGCACTGTCTGTTGCCTATAGCTGTGTCTGGGACGTAGATATGTCACGATCTATAGTTGTCCCGCCAGCTGCTCTTGTTCGTCTTTACCGAAAGCAATCGATACGAAATAGAAACAATTTTTAAATGAAATAGGTGTGGGCATCCGATCTGGTTGTTAGATTAGCTTCCAGTGGTATGCGGCTCTCAAGTAGAATTAAGGCTACATTTCTCTGTCACGAAATTAGGTTTTCTCATTGAGACGTCTATAATGCTACTAAACAGTTATTCGCAATACCGACGTACTGCGACAAATTGAGAGCAACGTCATTCGGTTTCTAGTGAAGTGTTATTCTGTGTTTGATCAAGATTTCATTGTCTTGCTCTATCCTATTTCTCCCATACCGATTCTTCCGGACGCCGCTAATCTATCCATTAACTCTTTTGCGTTTTACTGGGTTAAGTTTTCATAGAAATGTGATCTGATCACCAGCAATGAGATATAGTTGAAACACGTCTGTTACCTTAACCGGATTTTTTTTTCTGCCTCCTTTGGCTCCTTGCTGTGTCTCTCTTGTCTAGACCTGCAGCCGTTTAATCTATTTTAGATTTAAATCATCACGACGCATTTTCCGTATGTACTAATCTCTCTTATGAAGTAGCGCGTCTGTTACATTTGTCGTGATTTTTTGAGCTGTGATCCTTCACCAGTGTTTGCCAGCAAACTGTAAAGGTTAGGTCACACTAGCGCATTGTCAAAAAAGTGAACATGCTGCCTAACCTGACGTATATCAGCTATGCCTAAGTGCTATCGAGAAAGAGAAACGGGTCTTTGCTCAAGAGGCTTCGGGGGCACCCGATTTTGTCATTAACGTCGAAATGAAGTTTTTAAATAACAGTAGAAAATTCGGCTAACTTTTATCCTAACTGCTCTACAAATTAAGGAAATAGCAATTAATGGCGTTGTCATGGTAATAATTGCGGTGAATACTATTGTTATTTTGAAAGCATATATTGGCACGTACTTTCTGCCGTATCTTTTGAGATAATCAGCTCATCTCGACATATGCTACTAACAACCTAACGAAGAATTGGTTGTTAGGGCTTCACTTTTGTTAGGCATTCATTCACATTATTAGCACCCTTTTGATTTGGGGGCTTTTGATTTATTAGATTATTTCGTTACCATAACAATCTTCACGTGAACGTGGTTCTGCATATTTTCACTTTGGGCCTATTGCTATTCAAATTTGTTGAAGTATGTACCGGTATTAACTGAGCGATGTAAACTTGGCCAAGTTTATTCCAGTGCGTACCATTATGTCGTTATTTGCAGAAAATGGTTATGTGCTACTCGTTCGTTTAAATTTAAATGCCATTTAATAATGAAATTTAAATGCCATAGAAGGCTGCCATACGATACGCATGAAAAAAAAACCTCCTTTGCTGTTTGAGCTCGATCCGCAGGTTTGGCGGTGTCTCGGTGCGCTCAATTCACTACGGCTGTCTACCTTCTAAAGGCTGACTTTATCTATTATACTTTTGTCGACCTTTAGCTTGGTGACTCATAGTGTGCGTTTTTGCGCTATATTAAGGCTGAAGATCTGATTTATAGCGCTACTTTTTATTCGCATCATGCCGCGCATACATAATGAATACAATGAAGTTATGTATATAATAGGCAAATTATATTACATTAGTGAGTGCACACAACTTGATCCTCTTCCTTCTAAGCTGTAAATGCTGGGACAATTCCGATGTCTTCATTTGGCGTGAAGAAACAATTTATTAATAATAGACTAAAATGTCCATGAATTCAAATTTACGTGTTTATTAGCTAAAGCTGCACTGTAACCAACGTATTTTCTTTAGGATTCCAAACCGATTTCATATGATGACCTACAGACAAAGCTTACTTAAATAGATGATATAATTAGGAATCTGCAACATCATTTCTGTGAATATAAGCATGAGCTGACGTTGTGTTTTCCTTATTCGTTCGTTCGTTAGCAGATGAACCTGCAATTAGTCAAAAAGACATCCATCCATCGTTAGGAGATGGCGGTAAAGAAATCCCAAATGAGACTGGTGAGGAGAACGGACTTGTCGAAGTGCCATTTACTATTAACATTGAGTTGCCACAGGACAACTCGAATTCATCTAAGATGGTTCAGCTCAGCGTATCGCCAATGGAGCTTGTCCAGGAATTGCATCAGCGCCTTATGGATATGCAAGATACGTGTCACAGAACGTGTTTCCAGCTGACATTCGACGGCAATACTCTCGACAATTTTGTTGAACTAAAGACTATTGAGAATCTTAAAGAAGGAAGTACCATTAAACTTGTCGAAGGTGGGTAAGCATACGCGTCGCCTTGAATTTTTTACTTTTCCTTCCTAATAATAATAAATGTAATAATAATATTGCAGCTGAAGCCACAGTAAAAGTATTAAAATAATAGTAACCTGGTAATAAATATTATAAAAAGCATTTTTCTACGAATAGGACACATATACATATGTGACGTATGTGAAACGTTCAATCCTTTAGAGCCTTACACTCAACGCAAAGCGAGGATTCATGTGCGACACGTACGTGACCTGGCGCAGTCGCTTTCACAAGCTGAGGCCTACTCGGGGCAGGATCTCGGTTCGCCGTCGTTTCTATCTGTACTCACTGGCGGCGATGTCTTCGCGTCATTACGTGGAGTCGACCCAAACAAAAGCGTTCAGCACGATCGTGACGTGGATTGTACCCCGCCTGCGCATGTCATACCACCCACATCACCTGCGCAAAATGCCAATGGCCAGCAAACTACGATTCGTGAACCTCCGCTGGCCGCACTTTTACTAGAAACTGAGGAACAGACCGTTAGTATAAATACGATATTTCTAATTTTCTGCCGTTGGTCTAACTCTGTCATTAGGTTGTAAATAGAGTATCATCTGTTTTGTTTTGCGGTCAGTTTACTATAATCGAACTTTCTTTAACCAAGTTTTTATAAGTGAGAGATGTTGATTTCGATTAGCGAAATGATGCAATTCTACTTCTTAGATTATTTTTTGGGTTTTAGAAAAAATTGCAAGCTCTGAAAACGTTTACGCTGAGTGGCTGGAACCCGCCACCGGGACCACGGAAGCTTCGTGGTGATTTGCTGTACCTGTACGTAACAACTCTTGAGGACAAAAACTTTCACATCACTTCTTCTACGAAAGGCTTCTTTGTCAACTACTCAACTGAAAATTCTTTTGACCCGAAGCGACAAGGACAACTTGGCAAAGGATCACAGATTTACCACTCACTTGTTGATCTTCTGAACTGCCTGAGCCCTGGTTTCAAGTATGTGTTTGAACTCAATGAATCATAATCTCTATATCAGCGAAAAATTACACATACCGCTCGAGTTGAAGTTTTGAGTTGTACTAAGTTGCACTGGTCATTGTGAAACTTTCTTTCTAGGAAAAATTTCGCTCAAATCCAGAAAATCCGTTGTGCGCGCAACGATCTCGAACGCGTATTGACACCCTATCAAGTCCACAGCTGGCTGGCGCCCGCCCTAGATCATTCACTAGATGCGATTCGCGCAGAAGATGCGTCAGCGTTTAAGCTAGGCTACGAGGAGCAGATTCCTGGCCAAACGCGAGACTGGAATGACGAATTGCAGTCTACAAAAGAACTGCCTCGGCAAGGTCTTGCCCAACGTGTATTGCGCGAGCGCGCAGTATTCAAGGTGTACGCCGATTTTGTTGCTGCCGCGACTCGGGGCGCTGTCGCTGTCGTTGAAGGCAATGTGTTGGCTTTAAATCCGGGAGAAGAATTCCGTTCGCAAATGTTCATCTGGAACAACATTTTTTTTTCACTTGGCTTTGATGTCAGGGACCATTATGCTCGGGTTGGGGGAGATGCGGCTGCCCACGTAGCTCTGGCCAATGATCTTAAAGGTGTTCAGGCATATTTCGACGCCGACGTTGATGGCCTACACACACTTGGTACAGTAGTCGTCGATTATCGTGGATATCGTGTAATGGCGCAGTCGATTATTCCGGGAATTCTCGAAAAGGAACAAGATCAGTCGGTGGTGTATGGGTCGATTGACTCTGGCAAGACCGTTGTGTCCCACCCGAAATATGAGGAACTCCTAGGCGCGGCTGCGTCGACGATTAAGGTGCAACCGCACGAAGTGCTGAATACCGAAGGCGACGCTGTATCGCTAGCTTCGTCTATCGAATGCAAGGGCATCGTTGGTGATGATGGACGTCATTATATTCTTGATCTTATGCGTACGTTCCCTCCAGATGTGAACTATCTACAACAAGACTTTGTCGAACTGCCGAAAGAGCTTCGTGAAATGGGCTTCCCTAAGCAACAACGCCACAAGCTTGCTTCGCTTCGAAACGAGCTTATTGAACAATTTGTCGGTGAGTAGACCTATGTTGTTTATCGCAGTATATCGGTACCAGAACTACCTACTAAAATCACGAAGCTTGCGAAACTGAAATACTTTATATTAAAATTTAAATTTAGTAGGGCATGATCACCAAAGGAATTCATTGGATAAATCACTACCAGCTTTTGCCATTTGCATACTTATATTTCAGAACAAAAATATATGCTCTTTGTCAAGAACGTCGCTATGCAGTACCATAATCTGGATAAGGAGAATAATGACGCAAATACCGAGGAAAATAGGAAGGTTACTGGCGACAAAGATAAGAGGAAAGACAATGCAGATAAGGTAAAAAAGGCCGAAGCTATTGGAACACGCGAGGATGAGCAAACATCCGAAGAGGAAGCCGCGCAAAAACAGGACATTGTTCGTCGGGCAGCCCAAGCTGTAAATTCCTTAAAAGAAGACGAATTTTGGATTCGTTTCAACGCTGATGCCTTCCTCGATCACATTAGCATGGCTCAATCTGAGACTCTGACCAAGGAACGTGCGCTGATTGTCGAAGCGGCAGAATTCCTAGTTAATACGCAGATTCCTGCTTTGATCCGTGAGGCAGTGGAACACGGGACTTTCATTCTTGACGGTACAACTCTCACTGGGGCGCTACATAGCAAGGGCATTAATGTACGATACCTCGGCCTTTTCGCCAAATGTGTTGCAGCCGAAGAGCGCCTGTCGTATTTGTATCGCATTTGCATGCAAGAAATGATTTGTCGATCTGCCAAGCATATCTTTGTTGGTTATATGCAGTCGGTAGAAGGCCAGTTCATAGCTCAAGCCGTGGCCCACTTTCTGAATTGCTTGCTTAGTGCGAAACTGGCCCCGAATTTTGTGCCAGCTTGCACTGTCGTCGGATCTTCAGGTGGAGGTCGAGGTAGCAAAGGAAAACATAAGAGAGGCAGAGGTACCCAGAGCCCTACCTCGACGGCCCAATCCGGATTAACTGGCTCTGCTGGCGGCAGTAACGCTATTGACTGGCTGACAGTTACCCCGAAAACACTATTCGCGTTAATTAAAGGAGAAATGAAGGACTATTTCGACTTCGACGACGAGAGCAACTCGTTTGATACCCTTTATTCTCACTACGATGTATCTCGCATAGCGTTGATGCGGGCGTTCTGTATGCGCGTCGGTATACAGGTGCTGCAGAAAAATTATCAGCTCTCGACCGGACTAAGTAACGGTGCCATATGCGAGGACGACATCGTGAACTTGTTCCCCATTGTAAAACATATGGAACCAAGGGCAACAGACGCTTTCCGCTTTTATTTGACGGCGCAGAGTAAAATCCAACAGGGTTATCTTAAAGATGGATTCGAACTGATAGCTGAATCTTTGCAGCTGATGAACCAGGTATACGGTCCGATGCATCATGAAATTGTACAGTGTCTGCGATTGCTTGCTCGGCTTTCGTACATCATGGGCGACCATGAGGCAGCTTTAGGTCAGCAACAGCGAGCGGTTATCATGTCTGAAAGGGTAAACGGCTTCGATAGCCCACAAACCATCCAAGAGTACGGAAGTCTTGCACTCTATGCCTTCGCATGTGGACAGGTTTGTCTTATTAGCAATCTATCGAGCACATTTAATATCAATTTCAACACGTATATTTTGGGGTTTAGTTGAGCGGTATAGATCGTTGTTTGGCATGGCGTTTTATCAATAACATTTAATTTACGGTAGACTTCAGTTGTCTCTTTTTATGGCTCTTATGTTGTTAATTTAATAAAGTCTAAATAAGTGATTTTTTGCCCTACCTTACTCTGTTCATAGGTTCCGACGACATTGATGGTGTTATACCGTATGCGTTATCTAATGCTAGTCGTCTGCGGAGAGAAGCACCCAGAAATGGCTACCTTAGACGCTAATATCGGCCTCGTTCTTTACGCTCTCCGACAGCATGAATTTGCGCTCAGTTTCTTGGAGAGCTCTTTACGTCTTCATTTAACCTTCTATGGAAATAAGGTACGCTGGTGATACATCCTAATAAAAATTTAAGTTTCGTTATTTCCTAATGTAAATAAAACTTGCACCATTTACGGATGTAGCTTAATTTACTAGTAGGTGTACGACGATGAGGATGCGGTGAAAGGCATACCATCTATTTTTAAAAGTAACCCGTATATAGCGTTATGAACATGTCGTGTTTCTCGTGGTATACTGTTGCTTGTTAATCACTACGAATTGCGCTTCGACAAATGTCCTATTTTAGTCGATGAAGACAGCTCTAGCTTACCACTTGGTAGCTAGAACGCAATCCTGTCTTGGTGACTTCCGAGGTGCCCTCAAAAACGAACGTGAGACATACGCCATCTATCGGACAATTCTTGGTGATGCACACGAAAGGACCAAAGAAAGCTCCGAGTGCCTTCGACATTTAACACAGCAAGCTGTAGTGCTGCAAAAACAGGTAGTAGATTTCTCTATCAAATCAGTTTGTCTGTTAGCTTGGAAGTATATATATATTTACTTGATAGCACTCTTGTGATATAAAGGTTGAAATGGGCTGGTTGTGAAGAAAGTTCTTTAATTCTTGACGACTTTTCTTTGTCTATATCTGTAGTACACAGGTGCGTTTTTAGGCAACAGTCATTTTTTCAATTAACAATTATGCAGCGGCTGTCCATACAATAAACTGTATGATTAAAAAGTATCCATTAGTACTATGGAACGCAGACCGAGACTTTACGCTGATGACTTTGACTTTTTGATGATGTGTGTTAGGATGTAACTCACCTAAATATTTGGGTTTAGCTTATGATACTGTTAAGAAGATACTGTTATTATCTTAACTTTTCCTACGGTATATCACAACAATACTTTCTCATATCTTCGTTTTCATTCAAAAGATTAACGAACTGAGCGACAATGCCAACATGCCTAAGAATGCGAATAAAGTTCTACCCCCAATTTACGTGACGCCTCCGCCAATGGCTAACGTACTTGAGCTTCTAAATATCATCAACGGATTCATCTTTGTACAAATCAGGTACGCCACTTCGCTGAATGTACTCTAAAATGATGCTCTTTTAGCACATGTGTATCGATTTAAGGTAGTGCATAAACCTATATTCAATTGAGAAAATATTGCAAGATAACTGCGTCGTCTATACCGAGACACGGATAGTCACTGTTCATCCTTGTTGTTTACTACGTGAGTTTAAAGGTTCAACTTTTACGCTAAACGGCACTCAGTATTTGTTATTTATGGCTTGTGCACTGCGTTTATCCATATAGCATTACCACTGATAGGGCGGCTTAAGTACGAACACTCAGTATCTTGCAGTACCAGTGTATCCACATGACGTTCAAGTGCCTGCCAGCTTGGATCAACCGAATGATGTTAATTTTATTTATTTTTCTTTTGGTTTTAGCCCGGCCGAAATTGAGGCTTTGCGCGCTGAGCTCGCTAAAAAGACTACCCAAGAAAATGGCACATCGAACCATACGACAACTGAGGTGCAGAACGCAACGGCCGGCCCTACGATCCAGACAGCGCACAAAAGCGCGGGTTCAGACAAGGCACAACCTAAAATTCAGAAGGTGGTTTAGGTTTAACAGATGGAGACAAAAAAACGAATTCACTGGCACTAGATTATGTCACTGAGGTCATAGTGAGCCCAGTCGATCCAACGATCTTCATGCACACTATTTAGCTCCAGTGTTCCATGTCACCTTTCGCAGGTGGCTCTAAGCAGTTACCGTTAAATTCTGTTAATGCAATAACAATTGAAGTCGATTCGTACGACTAAATTTGTTGGTGGGAAGCGTCTCTTTGCCAAACAGCGGGGCGCGAGAATTTCAAATAGTGGCACAAGCAGCCTACCTACATTTTTCGTTCTGGTCAAAGACGGTTATAGTGCTAAGTTACATTTGTAGTCGGTGTGGTTTTAGTTCACCCTTATTCTATATGTGTGATGTTAGTAGCCGAGAGTTGGTTTAAACATTCGTATGTTTAAAGAAACATGTAACGAAAGGTAGGTTTTATTTGAAAGCATTACTTTTTTTAGAATGAACTCTTAAGCAGGTTTGGCTGACGTTAACTGTAAATTTTTGAAGTTTTGGTGGAGGTTTAGCCGAGAGAAGTGTACCTCTTAATAAATTTTTTTGGGACCTAAGCTTTCTTACGTGGACAAGGTTTGAGAACGAAGCAGCTTTATCATGCACAGCAATAAGATGACGGCCTTTCACCAGTGGTAAAATCGTACACTAATCAAATCTATTGTATTTACAAAGTGCATGCAAATTTTTAGTACCATTATAATGGACGAACATTATCTTTTGAAATAGGTATTTACATTGTTTTACTACCCCTCAGACTCTTACGGCTTTGTCCCGTGGACCGCTGTGTGACAGTAGTTGATCAATTCGTTGGTAAATTGTTGCTACTATACCTCGCTTGAACCTGTAAAGCATAGAACAGTTCGTTATTACCTCATACCGTCATTCACTCAACGCATATTCTTTCGCCTATCAGACAACTATAATAATAAATTATTTCTAAATGACATTAGCAATTTTGCGCAGACGCAATACGGTGCTAAAATCGGAGACCTGATCAAAAATAGGCAAGTCAATGGGAAAAGCTGTATTAGAGCGAACGACAGGATCGACAGAAATGTTAAATGAGGTAGACTAATAGAAACGGCTATAGTAAATGCAACATTTTTCCACGTAAACGTTTAACGTCAAATAGTCAGTGTAGGTATATCAGTTACCTCTACATTAATAGATCCCTTTTCTCAGAGCGCCACCTAACGGTTTCTAATTTCTAAAGTGGTTGAATTCTTGCCCAGTTGTTTTTACAGGTATAAAAGCCAAAACCGCTAAATTAATGTAATTTGTCTTTCGACGAAGGGGGTATCCTTCGTCGAAAACTGAAAAAAAATATGTCTCGAAAATATGCGCAATAGGTAGCAGAAAAACGAAATCTTTTATTAACTTCACCACTTATGTGGGGGTTCTAAACATTGTTGTTGGCGGTAGCCATTATCATTGTTCATTATCTATACTACTACTATTGTTATTATTATTATTACAGCAACTAATATTAGTCATGACCTCTATTACTACTTTCTAGACCTTATATATATATATATATATATATATATATATATTAGTTGTAGTTATATTGTAGATCTTTTCTCTGCTCTATATACACGTGATTTGTATGTGTCCGCGGGGAAAAGGTGGTCTGTCGGGCAGGTTTTTCTACCCAGCACAAACCAGATCGTTCACGGTTGTCATTAAGAAGAACCTGAACACACGGGCGATGGAGAAAAAATAAACCGAGGCACCTAGCCCATGTGAAAATGGCAAAAATGAACAAAACGCGAACATGAATGGCAACAGCTAAACACAATTGCGTCAATGAGCATCTGTGTATGCGTGTCTGTGTGTGTTTGAGTTGGAGAACGAGAAACGAGGCCGGCGCGAAGGTCAACGGAGAAAGAAATTCACACGGTGAACGTGCTAAAATGCTGCCAAGAGGAAACGATCCGTCAAATACGTTGTGTGAAATGCATAGCAGTGACGCCGGACTGGACGAATGGGCGCGAATGAAATATGAAACAAATAAAGTAATTTTACGTCGACAGCGAACAATTGGAAGACGGCGAGAATACAGAACACAGAAGGTGTGGAAGCAGTCAAGTTCGTAGAGTTTTGTAGCGGAGTTTAAGTTGACTTCCCCGTTTTTAGATAATAGAACGATAAAGAATAATAGATTAGTGTAGTCAAATAGGTTGTGAACGCCATCATGTGCTATGGATGTACTAACCAATCTGGTAGAAACTTGTATGTGGGTTGGCGTTCGTGTACTGACGTTTGATATTCAAAAACGTTTAGATGTACGTTCATATATATATATGTATATATATATGAGGGTAATAAAGATCCTTTGAAACATAAATGCAGCAGTGCAATAACCGAGCGATGCAAGGGAATTTTAATAAAAAAAAAAGTTTAGATTCGCTCAAATGCACGTGGACAGAACCCTAAGTTAAAACCCGTTTCTTGAGTTACAACAATTATTACTTCACCACTGCGTGAACTATTAATAAGACCGTGTGATCTACGGTGGTAACTTTGACGACGACGGAAAAAGCTACGTGCGGGGCTAAATTTAGGCATAAAACCAAGCAGAATCCTCATAGTAATAATAGTGAAATATGAAGCATGAAATTAACAGCGAAAGTAGGGAGAGTTATCGAGTAAAAGCATCATGAATTATATTCCACACGTAAATGAAAACATAGAAAACAACAAAAATACGAAAACGCAGCTGGTTCCCACAATCAGGGCAGTACAAAATGGGAGTGGAATCTTTTCCGACCATTGCTACTAATGGTGATAATGATTACGATTAAATATAATAAAATAGAAAAACAAAACATGTAGGCAAACGGAATATGGCTTTTTAATGATAAGAGGTGTCTGATGGTGTTTGTAATAAATATATTTTTAGGATTTGTCGTGATTTTCATTTAGGTTACTCCACGGGTGTTTTAGAAAGTTGGAGAGGGTGTAGAGAAAGACGGATATTGAAAATGTCGTTTGAATTTAAGACTACTCAGAAAAAAGCAGATACTATATCAATGAAGCGAAGAAATGGGCATATGATAATTGCAATAATAGTGAAATAAATGACCGACATTTCTGTCCCTCGTAGACACGTTCCCTCGAAGTCTTGTCCTCAATGCAGGCAAATGTCTTTTTTTCATTAAACAATCGTCATTGCTCATTGCTTCGTCACACGACCTTTACATTCCATACTACCAGCCGTAGACACCGTAGCAGTATTGTTTCAAAGAGGTTCACCAGTCTTATGTATAGCAGGTTGCACTTTACGATCCTTTTGGTGAAGAATACTAAATTCAATAATTCAAGAAGTAGTTGCTATACAATCGTCACTACTCTACCTAATAGCTAGAATACCAGAAACCAATACATATCAAAATATAATTGTTAGTAGTAGTATGCCTCGGTCTGCTTGCTGTACGTTTTTTGAGTACTGTCTTATAACCTGTTAGTCATGGTTTCGTGTGTAGTAAGAGTCAGCGGTCACGCTTTCGTACGTAGTAGGAGTCAACGTAGGTAACCCAGAGGGTAGTTAACAGATTTGGGAGTTAGTGGGTCGAGGCTCTTTCCATCGACAGTTATCTTCACATATTTTGGCCAAAGGGGGATGTTCTTGCGCTGTCCGTTGATTATTTTAATCACAAGATTACTTTTTGCCCAAGCTCCGAAAGCATATAAACAGAAACGATTTTTGGACCGCACATAAATTTATTAGATATTCACTGAGAGATTTCTAAATGCACGGATATTTTGCATTGGTTTGAAATAAGTAGATGACTACCAAAAACATTGTCATACTTCCATGCTGAAGTATGTCTTCTCATCTTTCTACTTGAGAATTTAAAGTCCAGCGTGGCGCTCCTTTGTCCGAGCTCAATGTATGTATATACCAAGCATTTTTAAAGAAGCTATGCACCGACTCAACGATTATGCACTCTGACACTATACACTTTTTCATCTTTTTCTTAGCGAAAGTTCCCGGTATGAAATGTAAAAAGCTAATCCAGCTTTTTATGTTTCAGACTTTAAAAAAAGCACCTAGAAATTCTTTCAAGTGAAAAGGTACTTCATGAGGTTACAAGGTACTTTCGTTTTAATCATGTTATCCCTGAAATCAGTGGTGGTGAGCGCTGCTACAGAGCCGCAAAAACCGACAGCGAGAACACTGCAGGGGAAGAGAGCAAAAATAAAAAAAAAAAAAAGCCGATCACGGTGGTGAGGTCTGTGTTAGGCTAGTGGTCGCCTTTTTTTACTGCGCTGCTGAAACTTTACTGTAGCTGTGTCGTAGGATGTAGTTTATGGCCGCAGTTCACTAGCGGCTCCATGGCAGCCACTAATGTCAACATCAGGCAATGCAGAACCAGCACGAAATCAGCGCAGTGTTGGGTTTCAGCCGCGACCGCTGCATCGAGGCCCAATCGAAGTCATAGCTTGTGGCAAGCCTCCATAGGGAAGAAGGAGACAAGGCCAAGAAAGAACCAACGAGCACTGTTAGCAAATCAGTAAGCGGGCCAATACCCAGTGTTAACTCTAACTAATGTTGACCTCTGAACGGAACCTGGCATAACTGTGTTCAGTACGGTGCGCGATTTTTCTTCTCCTTATTATCACCACGTTGCGTTGGTGGACAGTCTTGTCGGAGTTAGCGCTTTGTTTGTTTATTCCTGTTTGCCTGTTTTGAACGACGATTCGTTCGATTTACAAACTCATCGGCTATAGCGCAGATCGGCGGGCTATATGAGTAAGGCAAAGCAGCGTTGCTTCTAGTATCTGATAGGAGCATATTGGTTCCCTTGGTCGCGGCCTCGCTGCTATGATCGCTATGGTTCATGATCGAGGTGGTTCTATAGTTCTTGTACGGTTTCGTACAGTTCTGTTGGCAATTAAGCAGTGATTAACAGTCGTAAGGATTTAGAGGCCTCTACAGAGATATAGAGGAATCTCTCCACTGTCTGACTGCTGTCTGCCGACTGTGTTTGCTGGTTAGTAAGCTGCACTGCACGCTACGCTTGACGGCAAAAATGGCTATGACTTCTTATGATTTCCGCTTTAGAAATCAATGAATAGCTCTATGAAGATCTCAGCAAATCAATGTGTACAGCTGCAACCGGAGAATTCTGCTTAAGTCGTAAGTGTTTTCTTTCACTTGTTTTTTTAAGCGACATTTCACAGTGGGTGAGAAAAATGGGGAAAGGGCCGAATGCTTTTTGTATTTTTGTGATGTTCGAAACAACCGATTTTGGGTCGAGCAAAAGTGTACTTGTCCTTGCGCATTTCTCTACCGAAAACCGATCTGTATTTTGTAGGCGCATTCCACGGTGCTTGCTTTTTCGTCTGGTTATTTAACGGGTACCATTGTAATTGGGTTGTTGTTGCATATATTCGACACAGAATTCTCTTTGTTCACTATCCATTTTATACAGCGGCAGGACCAGAAACAGTTAACGATCTTTGACCGTTTCGATTAAAGTTTTCGCCCGATATTCACAAGCATAAAAGTGTCACATTAACGGACCGTTAATGTGACCGTTAAAATGGCCGTTGCAATAATGGCAAAATTGCAAGCTCGATTAAAAAGCTAAATAGTGAAGAAAAATATTATGGTAAACGTTGTGAAAAAAAGTTGCGAAGTATAATTGTGAAAAATAAAACCGGTGATTCATTTACATCCAATTAAAAAAGCTTAAAATCACGTTAAAAAATGCATTCGTTAACTTACATGATATTCTAGAATTACGGAATATGCAAGCGGGGGTACTGAAAAACATTCAGTGACGCCTGTAATGTTTTTCGTGCTTATTGAGTGAATCTCTCGAGTGATATCAGTTTTGCTATGTAGTTTGTTACTACATGTTGTTATGTAATTACTAAGGTAATCGTATAACCTGTGACATATTCCAAGAGCTGCCGAACATAGTGTATTAATAAAGTGGTTATTAAATGTTCATGAAAAAAATTATCAAGAAGAGGTTAATTCAAGTGCGGTACACCATGTTGTTAAACAAACATAGACATTTTCCACTATTATTACCATTAGCCAAGATTTTTAATTATACTATAAGTAGCACTTTTTTGCAGTTATACCACGCCGGTTTAGTAATTATCCCATGTTTCGTTTTGCATTGAAAATGTTAAGCTAACTATAAAAATTTATTTATTTAGAGTTTTATTAACTAATGTTATTATAATAACCGTGAAGTTCAGAATGTGCCGTATAGTCGTAATTGTAATTATTATCGAGCACAGTGTACGACTTGTTTGCGGTCCATTAACCATTATTTTATCATCTGGATTCTCGCTTGATTGACCTTGCCGTTCAGGAAACCGTTGACCAAACAATTCTAAGCCAACAAACGAGAATTTTTCTTCCACTAGGGACAGCCGCAGTTGTACCATCTGATTGTGCACAGGGTTTGTTGGCAGCTCGGATTGGCATTGCTGTAATCCGAGTAATTCTCAAATAATACGCAGATTGTTCCCGTTTTAGTAAAAACTTCTTTGTTCGTATCTTGCAGTACATCAATGTACGCTACAAATTTTCCAGTGAAATTATGAGTGAGCAGTCATTATCACATTATACTTCCAATGCTAAACAAAACCAATACAATTCATGTATGCTAAATCCTTCGTTTCAGTAAAGTGTTTCCAGAAACACTCGAATTAAGTAACCGGAAAAGACAGCTTCGTGTACGTCGGATCGAAGGTTTTGGGTTAAGGAACTATAGCTATCAACTGTTCGATCTATCGAATTGGTGTAGATCGGGATCATGTTTTCCCGAATCACTTTTTACCCTTCGTTAGTGTACAACATCTTCATGGAGAAGATGAGCTCCCGACGATGGTTCGATAGAATCGACGAAACAGTGATTTTGGGCGCGTTGCCGTTCAGGTGAGTAAAAAGCACATGATCAGCTAGCAAGTTTATCAGTTCAACCGTCAAACATGTCGTGTCATATGTTTAATAAACATGTAGCTTTATATTGGTTAAAAAAGCCGCGCATACGTTCGGAGACAAACTCGCTTTAGTAACAGATTGTTCGTAGCTAGTTCCAGTAGCGTTTAACTTTATTTAGTTTTGCAAGTTTATTAAAAAAAGTGCATTAAAAAGCTACGTTCTAAAAAGGCAGTGTTGACTTGGGATTCGAATGGACAGTTACTGTAGCGTAGAGAGCACTGCGGTCAATTTGTTTGCTTCGATCAATTGTACAACGGAGTGATTTGTTAATCTTGTCAGATGATTAAGACAATTTACTTAACACAATTCTAATTCGTCGCTGATTTAAAAACGAAATTTCCCAAACTAAGAACTTCGCAACTTATCGTACATCGGGCTAGTTGTTATGTTACACATATATGATGTTACCCATTTTTGCCAGTGTATCAATCTTCATATCGCTATATATGTTACAATATAGTCACTATTAACATGCACTTCTTTTAAATTTCGATTCTATTTTTAATTTTTTTTTATTTTTATATTTTCGAATTTCCTTCTGTAATTCTCTGCTCGAATATACACAGGGGTGTTGCAGACCAGCTTGTAACTGAGGAGAATGTTCGGGGCGTTGTGTCGATGAACGAGGACTTTGAGCTGATGTTTTGGGTCCCGACTTCAGAAGAATGGAATCAGAAAGGTTGCGAGTTTCTTCAACTGTCCACAACGGATATTTTTGAAGCGCCGTCCGAGGACAAGCTCAGGAAGGGTGTTGAGTTTATTTACAAACTTTATCAGTCAGGTCATTCTGTCTATGTTCACTGTAAGGTATGTTTAACGCTGAATCGTAAACATAATTAAAGTTCAAACTGCGCAGTGGCCGACGTGCTTTTTAAATCATATGTCTCCAATGGGGCGAAACGAATATATCGTTGAGCGTTAATTTACATAAAAATCAGTCCTTTTGTTGGAAAAGAATAATTTAGTAAGAATGCATCTCGAGCATTTCTGGTCGCCGGTATGCCTAGTTTCTAGATTGAAACAATATGAGGTTAATGTGCTACGTTTTATGCCGACGTCGGATTCCATAGACAAGTTAATGTGCAAATGTGATTTTGTTGGTGGATCGCTGTTGATTTTAGGCTGGACGTACTCGCAGTGCAACGCTGGTGGGGTGCTACCTCATGAGGCGATATCGAATGACGCCGGAACAATGCGTTGATTTAATGCGCGGAAAGCGAGAGCATATTCTGCTACAGGTATGATACTCTGGCAGCTTGAATCTATGCCAAAAACACAAAACTGTTGTCCAACTAAAATCGAAGTGTTTTTGGGTGAATGTAGTGACAGTAAGATTCATTACAAAATACGTTGTTATTTTGTCGAAAATTGATAGATACTACTGAGTCACTTAGAAATTTCCTAGAGAATCACCACAGGTGTTTAGTCCTTTAAATCCCTGATGCTATACCAATGGGATATTTCCGAATACCTATTTGAACAAAGAAGAAGAGGAAAGCACTATATGGGTTACTTCTGAACTTATAGAAGTTCTTATCAAAGCTAAACGATCAAGATAATATTGTATTAGTAAGAGTCAACAGGTCGTCAAGGGGTATAAATCCCTAATAGTTTTTAGTTGCTGCTATCTAATAATAAGAAAAATTAGTCTTCTTTTTTGAGTCTTCAATTAATTCTATTCCTCGTTAATTTAAAGCCTATAATAGTGTGTTAACATCACCGTTAACTTTCTCCCTCTGAAACTCCTTTTGCATGGCACTTTTAAATAATTCTACGCTGATTCTCTCTGTCGCTAATTCGTAAACTTCTACTTACAGACGGCCCAGTGGGACGCTCTTCGAACCCACTACAGTAATCACGTGAGGCCATTAGTAGACAAGGAGGGTGCGCCGCAGGTTTGTGTGATACGAATGGATTCAAACTGTTCACGTGTTGTGCATATAATACATATAGTAAATAACAAGTAATTTCCTCTGTTTACATAAATTGTGTACATTTCCGAGCAGTGGGTGTGCGGATGTATTAAGAACAATCAAATAAAGGAACAACTATTTTCTTTGTGCAAAGAAAATACTACCTGTCATGTGCTATTTATGACAAACTTGAAAAACTAATTAAAATTCATCCTAGATTATTTTCTTCTAAAACGTAAGGCTAGCTTAGATATATGATCTATAAAAAAAAACGTGCTGCATTGTTATTATAGAACTCCTATTAGAAAAGCCATTTTCGCTCACTAGTTAGTAAAGGGTTTTCTTTACTAACTTTGTCGTGTATCCTTATGCGAATAATGCACGTGAGTGTGGTATTGCAAAAAAATGAATATTTTCAACAGTACGGTAATAACACTAAGTAAACATCAGGCGAGTAAAACATTTCGTGCCTAATTAAAAATAAATAAATAAAAAATAAAATAGTACCATAATTTGTATGCTGGTGGTGACCGTCTACCACTAAGCCATACAGGATACAAATTCACCGCATATAATATGGGATTGCATTCTTTAACGAGATACCTGTGCTTCTTGTTTCTACAGGATGGCGTCGACTATTGGGCACTCGAAAAAACGCCAAGGCCGATGGCGTGAAAAATAGCTGAGATACTTAGTGTTTGCTGGTTATTAAAGAAGAGATAACAGTGAAAAACAAATTTTAGGAATATGATCGTCATTTTTTTGCTATAACAGTACTAAATAAGGCTCAACGAAAAGCACAAATAAGCACATTTCGTTATAAACAATAGAATGAGTATGTATGCGAAGACGATGAAATGCAAAGGTGGGACAAAAGCAGAATCAGAAGTTCCCAAGAGCTTTTTCTGTCGACGCTCAATAATGAACGTGTGAAACGTAAGCACACGGCGATGGGAATCAGTCCGCAGGTCGTGCTTCACTGACTGCCTCAAAATTGACAGGTTGATAGCAATTATTGCAACCGCTGTTTACAGTTATAGGTGTAGACATATCATGCATGAGACAAACGGGTGTCCGTAATGAAACACGTTGACACTTGGGAAAGATATCCTGAGAAAAAAGTTTAAAGGATAATTGAGATCTAGCGACACTTTTATAACAAACCCAATACACATATATAGATGTATCACTTTTACAAAAAAACATTCTAAAGAACCGCTTCAACTATTGCTTTGAAGATGTGTAAATGAAAAAGCGATTGTTGTACATACTAATGACAATAATATATTATAGTACACTACTAATGACAGTTGAATTGAGAATGTACGTGGTTCGCTTGCATGTGCCCGGCCAACCAATGGTAAGAGCTTTCCTAGCGTTCAGACAGATGGTAAACATACGCTTATTTGATAGGAGAGCTTTTAATATAACTGCTATATACACAAGCGTATCCTGCAAATCGCCGGGTGGACACCAGCCTCTCACGATCTTTCACCACATTTCAGTTTTAAAATACATCGTCCTATGTAAATTCAAGGTGAATGATTCATTTCTTACTACTATTACTGTACGGTTAGATCATAGTATAACACAATAATAATCATTACGATTTAATATATCTGTAGCCCTCTGTATTAGGGCGGATTTTTAAACGTTGTTGTCAGTGCAATCGTTGACATATACACATATATATGATTAACGCGAAAAATAAAAACAAGTTCTCTGTTCTCCTGTGATGGGACTCCGATCAAACGGGCTGTATCAATGCTATCATTAATCGACATTACATTTGTATAAAGTGCGCATATTGTTAATATATGCAGTGTACGTGTGATATGTAGGACACATTGAGTACCTTTAGCAAGCCGCATTGTTGTGTGAAGGTTAGCTACCTACGACGATTTTTTTGCGTTAGTCAATGGTTGCACTGGCCGTTTACGGCGGTGCAATCAATCTACTAATATAGACAGCGACAATTGTCGTTGCTGCTCGATGCTCCAACGGATCAATGAACGAGCACACGTTGATGTTGTTAGATGTGAGGGGTAATGTTACGGAGTATTGATGTCTCGCCTTGTCCTGACAAAGAAGCGAAGTGCCATTAAATATTTATGAAAAATGCACGACTTCTTTAAACGAAAAAGAACCATGCAGCCTAACGAAGGAAAATATTTAATAGACGAAAACATTCCGTATCTATCTAAATTACGCACGAGGAAGCGTTCCTCTAATAGGACCTAACGACAGAACGGATAGATTTAGTTATAATTTAGCTGTATTGGGCGCTATTTCTTCAACTTTTCTTACCACAAAAAATGTGATTATTAATATTCGATTGTGATAAAAATGATGGCTTTCAGCGTGTATTTATCAGTAGGAGGGCTGGGGCACACGACCTTTGTTTAGCTTCGTCATACCAAAATTGTTTCTCATTTTATAGATCATTAGGATGTTGTTACGTCTAGAAATCGTTACGAAAATCTCTCTGAAAGTTGCCATAGCCACGGATATCTTGAATCATAACTTACCAGTCATCTACGAGCTAAGGTAGGCACTAGCAATTTTTGTCGATGTTTATGGAAGTCATCCAAAAAAAAACGTTACACTGTTCCCCCTTGTCTTCAAAGGGAATTCGTGGTAGAATGACAACAAACAGTTAGCCACAGAAGGGAAACACTGATACAAAATAAAAAATGCGTGTAGAGGACTCCCTAAACTTACATTGCAGCAATAACAGATAATTAACTACAAGTATCACACAAATAAGATAGTAAATTTCTCATTGCAATTGATGGCAAGAATCTGGTTTATCATAGGGTGAAAGGCACGCTGTGTAAGCCACACGAAAAAGACCCGCTCTGCTTGTTCGATATCTTTTGTGATGATGACAGATCTACAGATCGACTTGCAACCGCGATCCTGCGTCAGTATGACACGGAAAAATCTAGGTGTTTATCGCTCATGATACCATAACGTCCAAAACGAAAAAAAACATTGACGATTGTCATATTCGCTTTTGCATGGTACCATGCTTTACAGTAGAATTAATAAGATCTCAATTTCACCATACCAGATTTTTGTTCCGTGCGTCCCCAAGAAAGCCTGAGGATTCTGCCCGTTTACCTAATATCGCGTCCTATCAAATGATGATATCGTAGACGCCTGGTAATCAGGGTCGAATAACTGAGCACAACAAAAAACGAACAATAATGAATCTGAGTTTTTGCGGTTTTTCCTTCTTTTCACGGTCTGCACACACTGCGACACTGATGAGCAAAGTACACCTCAACAAGTATCGGATGTTTTGAGCCACAGTGATATATGGCGGTTGACGCCATTAGAGCTTGTGTACGGAGAAAAAATGTATAGTGAACCAAGTTGAACTAGTATAGAACTGAATCTACTGAAAGACATGTGTGACAACAAGGGATGATGAGTTGATGTCTTTTTCTTTCAACCATTTTTATCATTGTTATTGTTATTTACTCATATTATTATTTGTTGGCAATGTTGCCCGAACTTCCCTGCCTCGATTCTTTTTCGATACAACACCGTACCCATAATGAATAACAATTTGTGTTCCTTGCGAATGCGTGAAATTAGCGTGAGAAATAAAAACAATAGGTGAACAACCAGACCAAATAAAAGACGCGAAAGCGCACCGATGATCTCGCGTGATTATTTCAACAAATAAAGTAAACAAAAAACGAAAAACAGCAAAGGAGTACTAGTTGTGTATTATAGTCATAGGTGAAGATTATTAAAGAATTGTTAACTACGGACTGTAGGAGGTACACGATAAATAAAATATACATTTCTAAAATAAAGTTAAGGTTTTCATTTGTCGCTGAGGATTAAGCCAAAATGACGAATAAATTATAGAAACTTTATACATTTATTTCTTAGCACCGTTTTCTAGAGAGCCATCTCATAAGTTTTGCTGGCGATAAACTACGCTTCTTCTTCAGAGCATGTGTGTATTTGCTATTTGTTTCCTACGCTTCCACGCAAATTCTATAATTGTTACTTGAATAACCTAAAATTATTATAATGAAGAAGAAATCCTATTTTCATATGTAACACGCTGGTGCTTTCACTGGAGCTTGTTTATGCTCGATGAAGCGTTCCATCGATGCTATGAAACAAAGAAGCTATTGCAGTTTCAGACGTGTTACTTGTAAATGCATGTTAACATGTCGCATAGTTTCAAAACTCTAATCAAAACGTATTGACATTCTACATGAATGGTTGAGTTCCGCCCCTTGCGCTGCAGATTTTATGACTAATTGCAAGGGCTGCTGCTATTTCATAGCTGCCATGATTATTTGATAAACACCGTATTTTTGACGACATCCGGCCACATTACATGATTGACAAACAGAAGACGTGCACATTAAGAGAAAGTTTAACTTGCTAACGTGATGGAATAGCAGTGATTTAATTTGTTGTTTTCTATCATGGCTAATTATTGATACGAAAAAATTTGGAACCGAAGGGTTAACAGGCCAACAATTGACCAGATGCATGGCCACATCAAAGCAACATTTCTCTTTTAGATGGGGAACGTTGAACGAGATTTATCGTAGTTATAAGCTTCTCGCGTCGAATTGTGTACAGTTTACGGGCGACCACAGCTTTCAACGCTTACTTGATACTGAATCGTCATTATTCAGCCAGCTCAATTCAGCATTATTCAGCAACAGAGCAAATGTTGATTAACATTTGGCAGCTTGCCTGTCAGTAAGCATAAGAACAGGATAATACACTTCTACGTTATAATGACAGGTCAACATTTATTGATACAATTGCCATTAAACCGTCCGCAAGAGCCTACTTTGCTCAGGAGCGTTTCTCCGAGAAAATTTCGAATGTGTATCGTACTCAACGATAATTTCTCACGTTCCATCCAGTATCCGTTGACGCTTATATTTCGTCGATCATTCAACCCCGGCAATCTTCAGGTTGTCCGCGATCACCGCCAGTCTAACGCGAGTTCCGAATCATCATCGGCGGCCCGGGTGAATCGCTCGTTTGATTTTCAACTAACTCATCATCAGCTGATTCATCTTGAACTGGTTTATCCGTGTCAGTCTGTGTCTGCTCCTCAGCACGCGCCTGGTCTTCAGCCTGCGCCTTGTCAATTGGCAGCAGTTGTCTAGCAAGTTCAAGGTAAGCTCTCTTTTGCGTCTCGAGAAACCCTCGCGAAACTTGTTGGTAACTACTTCGCTGAAGATAACCAGTCTGGCTTAAACTAGGCTTGCCGTAGCTTCCGAACGCTTCCGGTGCTATCCGGGAAAAATATTGTGGATAATCCACGGCACCGCTCTGCAGATCATATCGGGGATCGCACTGCAGTTCATTCCGGAGACGGTATTGTTCCTGTGTCTGGTATGTGCACTGCCCCTGTGTTTGCTCTGTCGGACGCACGTACAGTGCGTGCTCCGTTGAAAGCACGTATTGTGTATGCTCCGCCGGACGCACGTACTGGGTATGCTCCGCCGGACGCACGTACTGGGTATGCTCCGCCGGACGCACGTACTGGGTATGCTCCGCCGGGTGCACGT